TTTAGGCCTCTTAAGCTGATAGCAATTTAATAAGCACCCCCAGGGAATTAGGTTGATCCAGATGGATAGATCTAGGCATGGCAACCCAGTACTGGTTGATTAAAATTGTAGGAACCTTTTTTTAATATTGCAGTGGATGCAGAACGCTAGTACTATGTGTCAGTGAAGTCCAGTGGCATAAAAATATGTAGAATAACAAGACATTCATGGGCGCTTGAACATAGGGTGAAATAAGCTGACTTGTGCACCTGTAGTAATATTTACATAGCACTATGTATCTATCAGACTTCTACCCCTTATCCCTCTCCCCACTTTCACTTTAGCATAGAAAATTATAGCCTATTGATAGACATTCTAATTTGTCTAAACAATATTTTTATTTATTTATTTTTTTTTGCTGAATATATCATTTATTTCATAGAAAAATTTGCTTTGTCTGAAATTGTCCAACTGTTTAGCAATAATAACCAACTGCTAGACATTCTAACCTGGCTCAGCAATATGCTTTTGTTTTTGATGAATGTATGATTATTTGACAGAAAAATTTTGTTTTGTCTGAAATTGTCCAACTATTTGGCAAAATACAATGATTTTCAAGAGAAAGCCCCCCCACCCCACCCCACCCCACCCCTCTTCCCCTAATGACCCACATATACAATTTGATATATAATTACAGGCTGCACACAGAATATGCACATATAATGGTGAATTTGCATGAAGGAAAACAAACTACACTCACTGACATATGGCAGGGTAATCAGTTGCTTAAGGCTATGGTTAAGTTGATGTTATACTTATTATTCATGATATAGTACAGGGACCATATGGCATAAGCCCATTGATCTATATTTTTTACTGGAGAAAGGAGAGGCATCCCTGAAGTGAGAACAAGCACACGCAATACGTACACCTCCATACATCAATTTGTCTGCCACTGCATTAAGGCACAAGTGACAAATATTGGATTTTTAATGAAAATCAGCTTTTTAAGACTTGTCAATTACAAATTTGGTTCTTATGATTTGCCACAGAAGGTTGTTTTAAACACTGGAGATGCAGAGGGACTAACTTTTTATGTCAGGGAGAAATACATTTTTTTCTGTAAATTAATTCAAATACATAACAGACTTGATGCAAAGTAATAAATTCTAATCTCAGATTTTTCTTTTTCAAATGCCAGATATATGTAATGACTTGATATTTTAGACTAAGAAATATTTATCTCACACAGATCTTATAAATACGTGTTTCAGCATTTTTGAATTGTTTCCAGGAATTATTTTCAACCTTCTGTATTCCCCACAATTCCCAGTAGAATAAACAAGTGAAATAACATGCTGTGCATTTTTACTTGTACCTGCCATTGTGCCCATGCAGGTGTATATGTTGTATCTGGTTAATCCTTTTCATAATTTTTTAACATTTTGCAAACTGTGACCATTTTTACCACAGGTAATGATAAATTTAGACCCTTTGCCTTTTTTCTTTTCTTTTTTTCATTTTTTTTCTTTTGTTTTATGAGGTGGATTCCTACTGGAATTTATACGCAAAGCCAAGCCATTATTTCACTTTGTCAGAGCACAGAAGTGTGATATGGAATAAGGCCAGATTCCACATACTTTTAAGTCTACATTTATGTTAACATACAGTCTGACTATGCTCAATTTGGGATAAAATACCTGTAAGCCAATTACAAGGAGTGTTTTGACTACTAATAAATTAAAAATATAAATCAAATTAATGAATTTGTTGAATTATTTTATATTTTCCTTTAACAAATTACATCAAGCCTTTGTCGTGACTTAGATTTATGATTTCTTTGTTTGCATGAGCTCAGAGTCATTTGACATGATGGCGTATGCATATGGTGTGTGCAGATACAGATAATATTATACAGGGTTCCTGCAGGTAATGTAATAATCTTGTTGTCTGTGGTGCCTCTATCATTGCCTCACAGGAAAATATGCCCTTGAGAACTTTACTGGAGAGATGATATGGTTTAACTTGACTGCAAGCCATTGAAATTTTTATATCTGTTATTTATGACATATCCTATTATCATAAGGTCTCATATCTGCAATGGAGTTGTGAACATGAACTCAACTGCAGAATTTGTTTGTGCAGTAGTTGGTGGAAGGATGAAAAGCTTTGATAATGAGGGCTTTACTGATGTATTCTCTAACAGCTATTGTTCTGTATTATTCCCAAATGAAAACTATATTTATCTGCTTAAGTGACAATAGCAGGCTGGAAAAAAACTTTACATTTGTTTTGCAACATGTCATCAGACATTGGTGCTGGGTATCATTGATAATATAGAATACTACTACTCTCTCTCTTTCTCCCACCCTTCATTCCGGCATCTCCTTTAGCCTTCTCTCATTTTCATCACCTAATCCCCTGCCTTTCAAACTCAGAAAATAAGTTATGGTTGTCAGTTTTTAAAGGATTTCTGTTTACAACATACATTCACATTAATTAATAAATAGCCAAAGTCTTTAAAACCATGCAGGCTTGAATTTTGGGCACCCCTGATGTCTGCCATTTATCCTTGGTAAATGAGACGTCTGTGTGTATTAATTTACAGCTTCTATTGGATCATTGTAGTAGACAGAATGCCAGAGGTTGAGAATATTGATTCTATTATTGCTGGTAAATGTGATTGCCTGAGCAACCCAAAGTGATATTGGCATTAATGGCAGAGGTTTTAATCTCTGTGGACAGCTCAGTTTTTTCAACTGTCATATATAGTTTTTCTTTAAACTCAGTGACAGCCAAAGAAACCCGATTTCTTTTTGTCTTTGTGAAGTCTCTAAAATAGAAAATAGTCATTTTAGTTGTTTGTGTTTCTTGCAGTCAGTGATACTAAGGGCACTGAAGAAACCTGTCACATGTTTAAGTTAGAATTGATTATGATAAAAAAGTTACGTTTTATTAATAACAAAAATACATTTTCACACGGGTTTAACAAATGAAATAAATTAAATTTCAGTTGGATAAAGGAAAATTAGAACTGATCAAAGAGGACATGTCTTTCTAATTTTAAAATTTCCTTCTGTAAAGTGTTATCTAAAGAATCTTACTCTGGCGTACAAATGGACTGGCTGGTGTCAGGTATTTTTGCTTATTTTCAATATTCCATTAGAATTGTTCAATTTCATCCATCCAGGCCTGTGAGCAGCAGTTTCAAAGCATTGGAGTTATTTTTATTTTTATTTTTTTATTGGAGCATTATACCCCCTTGGTCGAACTGACATGAAATAAAGCTTGGAATCGGAGTGGACCTTTTACGACAAAATGGGGAAGCTTTTCTGTACCTCCCAAAACCTCCCTGCCTTCAGCAATTCAAGCCTACACCTCAAAAGACCTCTTTGCTTCAAGCTGGTTAGAGAAAACTTGTGTAATAAAAAAAGCTCTGTGAAGATAAATCAATGTAATTAGATGGAGAGGAAAGACATTTGAACACCTCGTTTATTATAGGGCCTACATTCAACATTGCTGACTCATGATCAGCAGCATACCAGGAACTAAAAGTTCTTTTGGCTCCTTGAACACCCTGAGAACCAGTGCATATAAAAGTAATTGATTTTTTTATGGGAATGAGTGAAACATCCATAACTAAACTTGCAATATGCTGGCATTTGGATTATTTGGCAAATGTGAAATATTGTAAATTGAAAATGGAATGCTTTTTTCAATTCTAGGTTTTTATAGTATTTTTATTTTTTGCATTAAACATTGTTTATGTTTGTGCAAAGTCCAGCTGTTTATTTTTTTTACCTGTTAAGTCAATTTTTGCATGGAAAGAAGAAAAAAAGGAGAGAAAGAGGGGGGGGGGGAGAAAGCTAAGATTTGGTGGAATTGGTATAATAAGGCACCCTTGGAATTGCTATTTTCAGTTTGTTTGTGGTATTTTGGTATTTTTTAAAGCATGTTTCTCATTTGTTTAGTCAAGTTAAGAAATCGGCAGATATTAAACTGCACCTTTTAAATAACTAAGGTAACTAAGTTAAATATGTGAGCTACAAAAAGAGGTTCATTTCTTGAGACAAAAAAAAAAAAGTGCCAAAAAATGCATGAACTTTCCTGTCACTTAAGAATCAACTTCCTTGACATGTAATAAAACATATTGAATTTAAAGAGCAGTGAGAATTATTTTGCTGTTAATTGATATAGTTGACAACAGACTTTATGCCAAACACTTTTATCATTGCCCATGACATGTTTAATAGGAAGTGTGAAACATGGCCTTTTGACAAAATTGGTAAAATTACTCTAAAGAAGCATTGGGGCCACTCATGCTGGCTTTAAATTGCAAATTAAATATGATTTTAGATTGACAGTCAACATGGCTTTGAAAATTTTAAAGTGCACATTTCAATTGTAATTTACTTAACTGAACTTTTTTAAGCAATTGTTTATGTGATGCTTGCATAATAAGTGAATACATAAATAACTCAGTTGAAGTATTTGTATGTGTAAAGATTAAACTTCTTAATATCGTTAAAAAATTTGACCTTAATATGCAGGGTATATTCAGATCCTGTGGTATAAAATCACAAATTTGTGATAACCACACAGGCAGGATACGTTGATTTATTGGTGTTTCATTCAGTGGTTTTCCCTGACTTTTTATCTAACCATTGAACCTTCAATAAAATCAGACACTTTTCTGATAAGAAAGATTTCTTAAACCTCAGTTTATGAAATGTGAGTCATCATATATTTTATTTTTTTCTGTCATTTTAATATGAAAATAAAACATGTTGATACTATTGTTTATTTTAATTCATTTTTCATTCTGAAATGCTATATTAAAATACTTTTGGTTCAAGATCATACCATTTTCATTGTAACATTGTATCGTTTATTTTTCAGGTTGCATCATGCCACTTATAACATTGTATCATTTAACTTTAACATGGTATCATCTTAGTTGTAATGATGAATCATTTTACTTGTAACATTGTAACATTTTAGTTAACCTTGTATCATTTCAGAATGAGAGCAACATGCTGGTGCAGTTCACAGGTCTGCAGCGTGGAACATTCCTGCCCAAAGTGACCAGTGTCCACTCCATGCAAGAAGACAATCACCTGGTCAGTAGAGAGAGAGAGAGAGAGAGAGAGAGAGAGAGAAATAATATTAAAGATGAGGATGGTCAACAGAGAGTGAAAGGGAAGGGTTTTGAGGGTGAAATGATACAGAGTGAGAGATTGGTTGGTACATGTATGTCATGGTCATATAACATTCAGAAATTCAAGCTCACCTGTTTATGTAGAGAGATCACAAAGCGCATTATGTTTGTAATAAACTCTTTGGAGCAGTATCTGTTGTTCAACATACCCATATCTTTTCTCTTTCAGATATTAGCATTCTCTGTGTCTCTTCATCAAGTCTATCTAGAGTTGCAGGCATCCACAGACGCCATACAAGCCACTGACTGTGCTCTAGTAATACACAAGCTCAAAGGAGAGGTACAGGAAGTTTTAGCTTGCTGAAATTGGTCATGATAAAAGAAATAGTAATTTTGCTCTGTTTCATGATTATGAAAAAAGCAGTGATGTAATTAGTGCTTAGCAAAACATAAGCATATCTCTGTAAAATGATCAGCAGAATAAAATTGATCAAACATGCTTTTATAGCATGTATTTTATTTATAATCTTGAGTTTAAAGTTCAACGTTGACTTGAATGTTCTAAAAAAATTATCATTTTCTCAGCTTGTTGCATAAATGGTATCAGCACTTCTAAACAAATATAGAATTTAATTTTTTATTTCTGACAGATCAAGCTGAAAGTGAACATGACATTGGGCGAGGAGATTCAGCTGACAGCAAAGTTTGCACAAACTCCAGTCATGGAGATGAAAATCACTCCTAAGAAAACAGAAAATCAAACAGAACAAGAACAAACAGAGGGTGCAGAAACTACTAGTCAACAAAGCCAAGAACAAGTACAGGTAAAAGACTCTCTCTCTCTGTCTCTCTTCTTGACTTCTAAATATACTCCCTCCCCACTCACAGTGTTGTCAGTTCTTGGGAGGAGTTAATATCACTTGAATAAACTGGACCCAACTACAAAGCTTGTTGTTGCTATACTTAGTCTAAATCTTTATTTTAACTTTTCTCTTAAACCTACTCACTCTTTAAAGGTTTTTTCTGCCAAAAAGGCTGGGAAATTGATCAGGAAAAGAATTTTGCCTTAAATCAATATGAATTTTCAGAAAAACAGTTCTGAAATCAGTATTTCACATTTCCCTTAGCTAAATAGAACAAATGTTATCATTTTTCTAAGCTATGTTATTTAAGTGTGAGGGCAGTGAAAGTTGAAATAATAATAATTATCACTGCAGCCTACTGACAACAACGTGGTGGACCTCCACACTCTAGAGCGGGTGATACTGAATGCCTTCAGTACAGCCAGCGTAACCTTCAGTGTCAAGCCACATGTCAGGACGTCTGGAATACACCTCAACTTTATAGAGAAGAGAATAGACAGGAAAAGTGATGCAGGATTGAAGGTATGGATATGGGATGTGCAAGTAAATTGATTTATTGCAGGGCATGAGCCAGCAGATACTATTGAAACTGTTCAGTTTGACATATATATTGACACTATGATTATGATAGACTACAATAAGGTAATGTTAGACCACAGTAGTATAAGGTACATACCAGAAAAGGGTGCTGTCACTCACAGATAGTTTGTCAATTTTACACATTTTAAGGTTGGATTCCCATTGTTTTCTGCTATTATTCCATTGTTGATAACACCTTAAAATTTGATTTAAGCATTTTTAAAGTAAAATGTTTCCAACAAAAAAGTACCTCCTTATAATGATACATTCTGTTTTTCTTCTTATTAACATTAATATTTTGGTTGATAAAACAAGTTTTCTATGTATAAAAGCATTAAAAAAATACTTATTTCAGTTTGGAAACGGAGCACCTCCCAAGCCCCCGCGAGTCCAGGATCGTCGGCTGCTGGTCAAAATCATCAAGGCCAATAATTTAGGTGCTACTGAGTTTGGTAAGACGTGGTGCACCCCTGTTCTGCTTGTTGTGTTGTATGCAGTACTAACAACCTTTTTATCTTCCATAGAGAAATAGACCCCAGCTTCACAACTGAAGTTTACCCGATATTGGTCTTAGTTTTTAGAAAGAAAATGTTTTGTCAGTTTTCACTCTGCATATATTGATGGCAGCCTAGTATTAAGTGTGCTATAAGGCCTGTCTAACTTAGAGAAATAAAGGACCATTGCTTTAAAATAAGAGGCCATTCCCAGACCCTGTCATACTTACTGTGGATCTATCTATCTCCGAGGGGAGTTTCGCTAAATTGCAATCAATGTAAGTGGCTTAGATGTCAGTCATGCCTACCGAAGCTGCTAGTGGGTAATTAATTATGTCTAATATTTATAGAGGTAAGCCAGTATATAACAATTCTGTTCTTTTATCTGTAGCGAGAACTTAACAATTCACAGAGTCATGTGAACTAAAGCTTTTCATGATTTGCACAGCATATAGACCCACTTACAATGACAGATAATTTTCCACTTTTGTTATCACACTGTTAAGCATTAAAGAACCTCCTGCCAAAAAAGCTATCAAACTACTAAGTGTTTAAGAACCTCTTGTCAAAGGCATTGATCTTTTCGCTTTTAATTTTTACCTAACAGCACTATTTTTTTTTAAGTCCACCCATGTAACTTTTCAAATATAGCTCACGTCTGTTTAAAAGGGACATACTTTATTATAAAACAGATATTCAAATTTCTTAAGATTTTATCACCTAGAGCTTATCTTGCCTGTAGTAATTTAAATTGTTCTTGTACACACTATAAGCCTAAATAGATAGAAAAGACAATGATCTCTACTGCAGTTTGTTGCTTCTAACAACCATATGCTTTTGTATAGTTTACCCTGTGTACTGCATGTATCTCTGTGCTGATGCTGTATCTGTATATTTAGGCACGGCAGATTGGAGTGAGACGTGTACAGGTAACAGATAGGTTCAAAACAAGGGGCAAATCCAGACTTCAGAGTGGTCAAAATATTGAGTTATTTTCAACTTGTGAAAAATTGATAATAAATGAATAAAATTGACAAATTTTAAAAAGAACAGTAATCTGCTTCATAAATCTAAAGGAAAAAAAACAGCCCCTTTTCTTGTAAAACAATTTTTTTCTGGGTTTGTTCCTTGTAGAAAAATATAATCATGCAGTGTCCACTTGATGTCTTTACTATGTGTGAGTCTTTATTTCCCTGGCTCTGGTTTCATTATTAAGTGTGATTTCTGATGTTTTCCTTTTTCATCATTGTACCATCCCATTAGGTCTTTATGGTCATTGAATGGGGGGGGGTTAAGATAAATTAAAATTATTATTATTATATGCCAGTACTTGTGTACATTTACGATTGTAAGTAGGTTCTTTCACAAAGCCCTACTTTATTTTTTACAATGACTGATAACTGTTATGAGTCACAGTATCTAGTAAGAAAATAAGTTACTTCATTAATATACAGTACAATGTATAAAGTTTTTTTTTTACTGCAAAGATTTTTTGCATTATTGATTTTTAAAGTGCATAACCACTGGTAAGATAGCATTTTTCTTGTGGGTATACTTAGACAGGACTGGCTGTTTGTGGTATTCAAATTATTAATGTTCTTTTCAGGGTTATTATTTGATATTTTGATATTTTATGAAAAAAAATTTAGATCTGGGAGCTTTTCTATGTGGTTAGATCGGCTACAGGTCCTAAACTTTTAATTACTGCACACTTACTCCTTTTTTGGATTTTGTTCTCACTGTCTTTGTTTGGCTTTGTCTTAATATTGGGTAGGGATATGTTGTATATTTTTTCTTTATAATTGATTACAAAGACTAAAATTAATTTTTTATCGAGGTTTTCATTTTTGCAATCTAATAACATTTTACCTGGGATTCTGTCAACAATTATGAGGCAGCAAATTTCGTAATTTTCATTATATTAAAAGAATAATTTCTTAAAAGTGAAAGAATATTGCAAACTTGTAAATGTATGCTGTTTTTGTTGACAGATGATCTTGGATATTGTTCCCAACAAGTTTCACTGCTGTTTTATGTCCATTTTTTCTTTTTCTCAATCCTAACCCTTTCTGCAGACGAGGGGTGCACACATATGGAATTAAAAAAAGAGTCAGATTTTCACATCTTCAGCAGATTATAGCATCTTGTTTGTTATAATCAGTAGAATTTGCATTGAAATTTTCAGTTCCATGGAATTGTTTAAGTTCTACAAACATGAGAAGCTATATTTGCAGGAGGGGTATGAAGTCTGATGCTTTTCGAAAAAATATGTATTATATGATTATAAAATATAATATTGTGAATCTAAGATGCCCTTGCCTGGTATCTAACTGTTTTAAAAATAAGAAGTATTTTTTCTACAGAAGTTTTAGAATGACCTCAGAATGTTATAGGCTGTGGAATGTAAGCCCAGTTGATAACTACAGTGTGATGTTTGCATTATTAAAGNAGTTGGTGGAAGGATGAAAAGCTTTGATAATGAGGGCTTTACTGATGTATTCTCTAACAGCTATTGTTCTGTATTATTCCCAAATGAAAACTATATTTATCTGCTTAAGTGACAATAGCAGGCTGGAAAAAAACTTTACATTTGTTTTGCAACATGTCATCAGACATTGGTGCTGGGTATCATTGATAATATAGAATACTACTACTCTCTCTCTCTCTCCCACCCTTCATTCCGGCATCTCCTTTAGCCTTCTCTCATTTTCATCACCTAATTCCCTGCCTTTCAAACTCAGAAAATAAGTTATGGTTGTCAGTTTTTAAAGGATTTCTGTTTACAACATACATTCACATTAATTAATAAATAGCCAAAGTCTTTAAAACCATGCAGGCTTGAATTTTGGGCACCCCTGATGTCTGCCATTTATCCTTGGTAAATGAGACGTCTGTGTGTATTAATTTACAGCTTCTATTGGATCATTGTAGTAGACAGAATGCCAGAGGTTGAGAATATTGATTCTATTATTGCTGGTAAATGTGATTGCCTGTGCAACCCAAAGTGATATTGGCATTAATGGCAGAGGTTTTAATCTCAGTGGACAGCTCAGTTTTTTCAACTGTCATATATAGTTTTTCTTTAAACTCAGTGACGGCCAAAGAAACCTGATTTCTTTTTGTCTTTGTGAAGTCTCTAAAATTGTGAAATCTCTAAAATAGAAAATATTTATTTTAGTTGTTTGTGTTTCTTGCAGTCAGTGATACTAAGGGCACTGAAGAAACCTGTCACATGTTTAAGTTAGAATTGATTATTATAAAAAAGTTAGGTTTTATTAATAACAAAAATACATTTTCACACGGGTTTAACAAATGAAATGAATTAAATTTCAGTTGGATAAAGGAAAATTAGAACAGATCAAAGAAGACATGTCTTTCTAATTTTAAAATTTCCTTCTGTAAAGTGTTATCTAAAGAATCTTACTCTGGCGTACAAATGGACTGGCTGGTGTCAGGTATTTTTGCTTATTTTCAATATTCCATTAGAATTGTTCAATTTCATCCATCCAGGCCTGTAAGCAGCAGTTTCAAAGCATTGGATGTTTTTTTATTTTAATTTTTATTTATTATTATTTTTTTTTTATTGGAGCATTTTACCCCCTTGGTGGAAATGACATGAAATAAAGCTTGGAATCAGAGTGGACCTTTTACGACAAAATGGGGAAGCTTTTCTGTACCTCCCAAAACCACCCTACCTTCAGCAATTCAAGCCTACACCTCAAAAGACCTCTTTGCTTCAAGCTGGTTAGAGAAAACTTGTGTAATAAAAAAAGCTCTGTGAAGATAAATCAATGTAATTAGATGGAGAGGAAAGACATTTGAACACCTCGTTTATTATAGGGCCTACATTCAACGTTGCTGACTCAAGATCAGCAGCATACCAGGAACTAAAAGTTCTTTTGGCTCCTTGAACACCCTGAGAACCAGTGCATATAAAAGTAATTGATTGTTTTATGGGAATGAGTGAAACATCCATAACTTACAATATGCTGGCATTTGGATTATTTGGCAAATGTGAAATATTGTAAATTGAAAATGGAATGCTTTTTTCAATTCTAGGTTTTTATAGTATTTTTATTTTTTGCATTAAACATTGTTTATGTTTGTGCAAAGTCCAGCTGTTTATTTTTTTTACCTGTGAAGTCAGTGTGTTTGTGCAAAGTCTAGCTGTTTATTTTTTTTACCTGTTAAGTCAATTTTTGCATGGAAAGAAGAAAAAAAAGGGGAGAGAGATAGAGAGAGAGAGGGGGGGGGGAGGGAGCTAAGATTTGGTGGAATTGGTATAATAAGGCACCCTTGAAATTGCTATTTTCAGTTTGTTAGTGGTATTTTGGTATTTTTAAAGCATGTTCCTCATTTGTTTAGTCAAGTTAAGAAAACAACAGATATTTAACTGCATCTTTTAAATAACTAAGGTAACTAAGTTAAATATGTGAGCTACAAAAAGAGGTTCAGTTCTTGAAACAAAAAATGCATGAACTTTCCTGTCACTTAAGAATCAACTTCCTTGACATGTAATAAAACATATTGAATTTAAAGAGCAGTGAGAATTATTTTGTTCTTAATTGATATAGTTGACAACAGACTTTATGCCAAACACTTTTATCATTGCCCATGACATGTTCAATAGGAAGTGTGAAACATGGCCTCTTGTCAAAATTGGTAAAATTACTCTAAAGAAACATAGGAGCCACTCATGACTGGCTTTAAATTGCAAATTAAATATGACTTTAGATTGACAATCAACATGACTTTGAAAAGGCACATTTCAATTGTAATTTACTTATCTGGACTTTTTAAAACAATTGTTTGTGTGGTGTTTGGCTTATAAGTTAAAAAGAAGTGAATACATAAATAATTCAGTTGAAAGTATTTGTTTGTGTAAAGATTTATCTTCTGAATATCATTAAAATTTTTAACCTTAATATGCAGGGTATATTCAGATCCTGCTGTATAAAATCACAAATTTGTGATAACCACACGGGCAGGATACGTTGATTTATTGATGTTTCATTCAGTGGTTTTCCCTAATTTTTTATCTAACCAATGAACCTACAATAAAATCAGACACTTTTCTGATAAGATAGATTTCTTGAACCTCACTTTATGAAATATGAGTCATCATATATTATTTTATTTTTTGTCATTTTAATATGAAAATAAAACATGTTGATACTATTGTTTATTTTAATTCATTTTTTTCTGTAATGCTGTACATATTAAAATACTTTTGGTTCAAGATCAGCATTTCAATTGTAACATGGCATCTCTTGTGAAATGATATTATTTGATAGTAACATTGTTTCATTTTAGCTGTAACATTGTATCATTTATTTGTCACATTGCATCATGTCACTTGTGACATTGTATCATTTTAGTTGTAACTGCATCATTTCACTTGTAGTATTGTAACATTTTTGTTAACCTTGTATCATTTCAGAATGAGAGCAACATGCTGGTGCAGTTCACAGGTCTGCAGCGTGGAACATTCCTGCCCAAAGTGACCAGTGTCCACTCCATGCAAGAAGACAATCACCTGGTCAGTAGAGAGAGAATGAGAAAGAGAGAGAGAGAAAGTCAAAAGGGGTGAAATAATATTAAAGAGGAGGATGGTGGACAGAGAGTGAAAGGGAGGAGATTTGAGGGTGAAATAATAAAGAATGGGAGAATGGTTGGAACATAAACTTAATGGTCCATTTAAGTCTTTTAAATCTGAAAATTTCTTTTTTGTATAGAAAAATAAATTGTATTACATTTGTTATAAACTCCCAGGAGCATATCTTTTCTTTTTCAGATATTAGCATTCTCTGTGTCTCTTCATCAAGTCTATCTAGAGTTGCAGGCATCCACAGACGCCATACAAGCCACTGACTGTGCTCTAGTAATACACAAGCTCAAAGGAGAGGTACAGGAAGTTTTAGCTTGCTGAAATTGGTCATGATAAAAGAAATAGTAATTATGCTGAGTTTCATGATTATGAAAAAAGAAGTGATGTAATTAGTGCTTAGCAAAACATAAGCATATCTCTGTAAAATGATCAGCAGAATAAAGTTGATCAAACATGCTTTTATATCTTGTATTTGATTTATAAACTTGAGTTTAAAGCTCAACGTTGACTTGAATGTTCTAAAAAAAAATATCATTTTCTCAGCTTGTTGCTGAAAATGGTATCATCTTCAGCACTTCTAAACAAATAAAAAATTTCATTTTTTATTTCTGACAGATCAAGCTGAAAGTGAACATGACATTGGGCGAGGAGATTCAGCTGACAGCAAAGTTTGCACAAACTCCAGTCATGGAGATGAAAATCACTCCTAAGAAAACAGAAAATCAAACAGAACAAGAACAAACAGAGGGTGCAGAAACTACTAGTCAACAAAGCCAAGAACAAGTACAGGTAAAAGACTCTCTCTCTCTCTCTGTCTCTCTTCTTGACTTCTAAATATACTCCCTCCCCACTCACAGTGTTGTCAGTACTTGGGAGGAGTTAATATCATTTAAATAAACTGGACCCAACTACAAAGCTTGTTGCTGCTATACTTAGTCTAAATATCTATTTTAACTTTTTTCTTAAATCTACTCACTCTTAAAAGGTTTTTCTGCCAAAAGGCTGGTAAATTGACCAGGAAAAGAATTTTGCCTTAAATCAACATGAATTTTCAAAAAAACAGTTCAGTATTTCACATTTCCCTTAGCTAAATAGAACAAATGTTACCATTTTTCCAAACTATGTTATTTAAGTGTGAAGGCATTGAAAAATTGAAAATAATAATTATCACTGCAGCCTACTGACAACAACGTGGTGGACCTCCACACTCTAGAGCGTGTGATACTGAATGCATTCAGTACAGCCAGTGTAACCTTCAGTGTCAAGCCACATGTCAGGACGTCTGGAATACACCTCAACTTTATAGAGAAGAGAATAGACAGGAAAAGTGATGCAGGATTGAAGGTATGGATATGGGATGTGCAAGTAAATTGATTTATTGCAGCGCATGAGCCAGCAGATACTATTGAAACTGTTCAGTTTGACATATATATTGACACTATGATTATGATAGACTACAATAAGGTAATGTTAGACCACAGTAAGTAGAAGATACATACCAGAAAAGGGTGCTGTCACTCACAGATAGTTTGTCAATTTTACACATTTTAAGCATGGATTCCCATTGTTTTCTGCTATTATTCCATTGTTGATTACACCTTCAAATTTGATTTAAGCATTTTTAAAGTAAAATGTCTCCAACAAAAAAGTAATAAAAAGCACCCTTGTCTTACTTTAAATGATACATTTTGTTTTTTTTTCTTATTAACATTAATATTTTGGTTGATTAAACAAGTTTTCTATGTATAAAAGCATTTTAAAAATACTTATTTCAGTTTGGAAACGGAGCACCTCCCAAGCCCCCGCGAGTCCAGGATCGTCGGCTGCTGGTCAAAATCATCAAGGCCAATAATTTAGGTGCTACTGAGTTTGGTAAGACGTGGTGCACCCCTGTTCTGCTTGTTGTGTTGTATGCAGTACTAACAACCTTTTTATCTTCCATAGAGAAATCCCCAGCTTCACAACTGAAGTTTACCCGATATTCAATTATTGGTCTTAGTTTTTTAGAAAGAAAATGTTTTGTGGGTTTTCACTCAATGTATTTTGATGGCAGTCCAGTATTTAGTGTGCTATAAGGCCTGTCTAACTTAATGAAATAAAGGACCATTGCTTTAGAATAAGGGACCATTCCCAGACCCTGTCATACTTACTGTGGATCTATCTATCTCCGAGGGGAGTCTCGCTAAATTGCAATCAATTTAAGTGTCTTAGATGTCAGTCACGCCTACTGAAGCTGCTAGTGGGTAATAAATTATGCCTAATATTTATAAAGGTAAACCAGTATATAATAATTCTTTTCTTTTATCTGTCCCAAGAACGTAACAATTTACACAGTCATGTGAACTAAAGCTTTCCATGATTTGCACAGTATGTAGACCCACTTATATTGACAGATAATTTTCCACTTTTGTTATCACACTATTAAGCATTAAAGAACCTCCTGCCAAAAAGATATCAAACTGTCAGGTGTTTAAGAACCTCTTGTGAAAGGCATTGATCTTTTCACTTCAGATATTCAAATTTTTAAAGATTTTATACCTAGAGCTTATCTTGCCTGTAGTAATTTAAATTGTTCTTGTACACACTATAAGCCTAAATAGATAGAAAAGACAATGATCTCTACTGCAGTTTGTTGCTTCTAACAACCATATGCTTTTGTATAGTACCCTGTGTATGGCATGTATCTCTGTGCTGATGCTGTATCTGTATATTTAGGCACGGCAGATTGGAGTGAGACTTGTACAGGTAACAGATGGAATCGAAACAAGGGGCAAATCCAGACTTCAGAGTGGTCAAAATATTGAGTTATTTTTAACTTGTGAAAAATTGATAATAAATGAATAAAATTGACAAGTTTAAAAAAGAACCGTAATCTGCCTCATAAATCTAAAGGAAAAAAAAAACAGTCCCTTCTCTTGTAAAACATTTTTCTGGGTTTGTTCCTTGTAGAAAAAAATATAATCATGCAGTGTCCACTTGATGTCTTTTCTATGTGTGAGTCTTCATTTCCCTGGCTCTGGTTTCATTATTAAGTGTGATTTCTGATGTTTTCCTTTTTCATCATTGTACCATCCCATTAGGTCTTTATGGTCATTGAATGGGGGGGGGGGGGTTAAGATAAATTAAAATTATTATTATTATGTGCCAGTACTTGTGTACATTTACGATTGTAAGTAGGTTCTTTCACAAAGCCCTACTTAATTTTTTACAATGACTGATAATTGTTATGAGTCACAGTATCTAGTAAGAAGATAAGTTACTTCATTAATATACAGTACAAAGTTAAAGTTTTTTTTTTTAACACTATTGATTTTTAAAGTGCATAACCATTGGTAAGATGCCGTTTTTCTTGTGGGTATACTTAGACAGGACTGGCTGTTTGTGGTATTCAAATTATTAATGTTCTTTTTAGGGTTATTATTTGATATTTTGATATTTTATGAAAAAAAGTATAGATCTGGGAGCTTTTCTGTGTGGTTAGATCGGTTACAGGTGCTAACCTTTTAATTACTGCACACTTACTCCTTTTTTGGATTTTGTTCTCACTGTCTTTGTTTGGCTTTGTCTTAATATTGGGGTAGGGATATGTTGTATATTTTCTTTATAATTGATTACAAAGACTAAAATTAATTTTTTATCGAGGTTTTCATTTTTGCAATCTAATAACATTATACCTGAGATTCTGTCAACAATTATGAGGTAGCTAATTTCTTTTCTCATATTTTTAAAAAGAATAATTTCTTAATGGTGAAAGAATATTGCAAACTTGTAAATGTATGCTGTTTTTGTTGACAGATGATCTTGGATATTGTTCCCAACAAGTTTCACTGCTGTTTTATGTCCATTTTTCTTTTTCTCAATCCTAACCCTTTCTGCAGATGAGGGGTGCACACATATGGAATCAAAAAAGTGTCAGATTTTCACATCTTCAGCAGATTATAGCATCTTGTTTGTTGTAATCAGTAGAATTTACATTGAAATTTTCAGTTCCATGGAATTTTTAAAGTTCTACAAACATGAGAAGCTATTTTCGCAGGAGGGGTATGAAATCTGACACTTTTCGAAAAAATATATTGTATGATTATAAAATATAATATTGAGAATCGAAGATGCCCTTGCCTGGTATCTAACTGTTTTAAAAATAAGAAGTATTATTTCTACAGAAATTTTAGAATGACCTCAGAATGTTATAGGCTGTGGAATGTAAGCCCAGTTCATAACTACAGTGTGATGTTTGCATTATTAACATTAGAGATTTTACAACCAGTGAAACAGATTAGAATCTAGATATGTGAAATCCATATAGTGTTTGGGAAAGAGAGCATGAAAATTATTTGAATTAAAGATGGTTTAATACTTTTAAAATGCTGTCATAGAAAAAAGAGTTTTGATGATGATAAGAAGTTGACACGAGAAGTTGACACGAAACATGCTGATTAGATTCTAGTGATAAAGTAGTACATTTATACTTTAGAGAAAAAAAATGTCTTTTAAATTATGTCTTATCTTGGTATTCCTCAGCCTGCACTGACCCCTATTGTCTGGTCGAGATGGACTATCCCTCTCAGAAGCACATCACCAGTGTGGTCAAGGGGACACAGAACCCGTTCTGGGATGAACACTTTCTTTTGTAAGTTAATATAAAACAATTGGTAACTTGACTCATGGGAAATGTCAGACAGTCTCTTACATTTTGTAGGAACATTTATTTTTATTTTTATTTTTTTTGCACAATTTGTATAGATTTATTTAAGTTGGAAAATGTCAGGCATAGAAGGAGGAAGCAGAGTATAAGATGACAAGCACATTGTATTGTACCTGAGCGTGATAGTTCAGGTAATTCAGGGTTTACTGACAACCTTCAAAATTGATTGAATTTAGCCCTGCGTCTTGGGTTCCGTCTGCGGCCTTGAAAAGTACTTGAAATTGCTCTTATCCTTGAAAAGGGTTTGTATTCCATTATTTTCGTCCTTGAAAGTTATTGAATTCGATCACTAAACAGTTTGTTAAAAATTATTTGAAATCTTGTGTTTATTTTTGCCTGAATGTAGGTAATAATTTGCAGAAGGAAAGAAAACCTTTTTGGAAATAATTTGAATTTGTAATTTTCAGGCTTCATCATCAGAAGTTTAGTAAAATGAAACTAGTCTTATCTTTTTCTTTTGGTATGTGCATTTATAAATGACAGTATAATAATAATAATAATAATAATAATAATAATAATAATAAGTGATATGTTGGAATTCCAGTGATCTAAACCAAGATAGTAGAGAACTGAAATTTGACCTGTATGACAGAGACCAGTCTCAGGGAGGTGAGTCAGGTGCTGTGCTCAAGTTTGGCAGTCCAGACTTCCTCAAATGGTTTTCTATTGTTCTGTGATTCAAAACAGAACATGTATAGTTAATAATATAAGTAATGTGTAAAATGCACCAAGTATTTGAAAGTATTTCATCTGTGATCAGAATTTAGATTTAGATTGAAACTGAAGTTTGTATCGGTTTTAAATGATTCTTTAAAAGAGCTGTTCTCTTAATTGTGCCTTTTATTTTTATCATTATGAATCCAGCCACTGAAGCACCAGTCTAGGCATAGTGCACAGCTGACAGAGTTTTCATTTTAAGACTTGTTTTCCAGAGGATTTTCTTGGCACGGCCATCAGTCGACTGGATGACCTGCGTGAGTACCCCAGCAGCCGTCAGATTATCCCCTTGACCGGCAAGCCTGGACAAACAGCCAATGTTTGTGGTACTATAACAGTAGAGGTAGGCCAAACCCCCTGAACCCTGGAGAAGATCTCATTTGGGCTTGAATTATTTTTTATTTTTTATATTTTGAGCCAAATTTTCAACATTTGCCTAAGTAAAATTTGGAGCATTTCAGTTTTTCTAAAAATAATAATATCTTTTAGTTATTTGTCTAAAATATCTAGTTGTTTGGCTAATTTAAATTCCATAATCCTAGAGTTACTTCTGATTCTTATTTGTGTTATCATTATTTGCTCTGAATTAAAATCTTTGGAGAAAATCCTATCCTTAAATTCTGGTTTTAACATTGGAACTTTTGTGAAAGTTATGGTTTATGAGCCAAAAAGCTGCTATCATAATCTGTACATGTTACTGAATGAATAATGGAAAGTGAATTTGACATTATGAAGGAAAACAATTAAAAATCCATAAATCCACATTGAGCTGATTTTAATGAATATTATGCATCTATATTGCCCCCCTTCCTTCTTATCATTTTGCCTCCAAGAATGTGAATGTGGGACATTTTAAATTTTACTTTCTTATGCATGATTATTTTGTCTAACCTGTTAGATTACAGAATATCGTGACTATATCTTTGTCTCCCACCAGTTTCTGTTCATGGAGCCTGCAGAAGCCCAGCAGTACCAGGAACAGGTCACTCCAGTCCAAGTCTCCCCTCGCCGTCGCATTGAGACCAGTCGTACCGTCACCCCCGGAGGAACCCACATCACAACCACCACTACCACCACAGAGAAGAGGAAGGATCAGAAACTGGAGGCTTCATTACACGGTGAGTGTGCTGTATATTACACCTAACACAATATTGTGGTGACTGTCACAACTAACACAATATTGTGTTCATTCTAACACCTTACACAATATTTTGATTGTTGTCACACCTTACACAATATTGCGTTCATTGTCACATTTGACACAAGATTGCGAACAGTTTTGTAATTTGTGAGTTAGATTCACCTTACTCACTTTAATTTATGATTAGTATTATTAGGGTGATTCTGATAATGCTTGATGCTCTTTAACAAAATGCCCTTTTTATTTAAATTATCTTTCATTGAAAATAAATAGTAACATTTTCATTAGATATGGTGAATTAAGTATCAGCATAGTATTTAGCAAATTATATATCAGTGCAAAAAAGATTGCAAGTTAATGATATATTTTGAAAGTTGAACAAAACCTTTATACAAGATTCATTAATCAAGTTTTGCACAATTATTATCTTTCAGATTACCAGATAGGTTTGCTGTTTTTCCCTTATGTTACTTAATTATTATATCTTAATGCTTCAAATATATTATGCTTTGCTTTTACATTTTACTTACACAACCCAAACTTACCTGTATATAAAAAAATCCTTGTTTCCCTGAATTCCAGAATCTCCCAGCAAGATAGAAAAAGCAGAGGCGCATGCTCCAGATACTAGTAACCAGGGTAAGGGAACCTTTATGTAGGGCTTTTCTTGATAGCAAAATGCTATTTAGTGATAATATATAGTAATAGTAATAATAATTTAGTTGTAAATTCATTCAGTGTTCAGTAGAATTCACAGCATTGAAATTGATTGTGTAGAACTGTTGGGTAACCAATACTTAAGCCTTGCTGTTATAATTCCATATGGTGTATACATAATATAATATAAATGATTCCAAATATAATGCATATTAGAGGTATTTGTATTTTTAAAGGTTGTCAGCTAGGTTGTCAAAGGAAATTTTTTGGAAGATTTTAGCAAGTTTTACCGTGCTTTCATTTGACATTTAATGGTGATTTGTTGTAGCCCTCAACAAGAAGAGATAGAAAATAAACATGGGATTTTATATACAATCAAATAAACTAAAAAAAGGGATGAGATATTTCTGACAGTTGGCAGATTTTGAACATTTTGGGAGCCAAAAAGTACCATTTTTGAGATTGATGCAGATCTGCAATAAAAATTGGGGGAGGGGGGGGGGGGGGTCTGGACTCCATGCCATATTTTCAGACTTTTTCACAAAATGGTAGCCTCATTCCCGATTTACTTCATCAATCCAGGTAGTTTCTCTGTGATGTACACCCTGTTTCCCATACCCTTAAACTGGCCTAAATGTATAGAAGGCACACAGTTCAGAATTTGTTTCAGGCGCTGCAGGAGAGGACATATCCCAACCGTCTCAGGGACCCCCCACTATTAATGAACCCCCCCAAGAGCAACCCCCATCTTCCCCTAAAACCAAGGAAAAAAAGAAAAGATGGTTCAAAAAGAGTGGCCTAACGTTCCCACGACGTAGTCGGTCCTTACCCCGGTCCACTGTACCTGTAAGTATGCTTGTGCTACGTATGTACAAGCATGCGCTGCCGCCCCCCATCTCTTGGCTTGCATGTGTTTGTGGGTTATTTGGTCTGTTCTGATAAAAAAACATGCATGGCGTGTGCAATATTTACAAAAGTCGTGAACGTGACAGCAAAGGGTCATGCGACAAATGACATTAGATAATCTATCTAATATAATATATTAATTTAGATATATTAACTATTGTATATACTTTTACTACATACTGTAACAATATGAAACTGACCAGGACAAAAATATAACTCAAAACATTTGACAGACTCTTAAGAGATGTATATTTTTTTGAACTTTTTATGTACTTAAGTTTGGAGTTTCATTTATATGAATGCTTATACATGTGTAGTTTAGTTTGAAGTTTAACTCTGCACATGGTGTTTATTTTAGTGTGCTTTGGGTATTACCACGCCATGCATGTATGCTGCAAATGAGGGTGTCAAAAATTTAGCCGATTGAAAGCCTCCCTTTCGGTGAACTTTTATTAGAGCAAAGGAGCCAGTGACAGAACCCTTTCAACTTGCTGTTATTATCTGCCTAGGGTCATGACTTTCTAAAACAGCCAGGAGGCATAGTAATTTATTCCTTCTTCCTGTTGGTCTATGGATTCATGTAGATCAAAGTCTAGTCCATTCTAAAATAAAGCCACACACAAACAATCATATGACCAGTCCATCTTGTGAACCAGCAACTCCACAATAACTACTACAAAGGTCTTTGTTAAAAATTTTGTTAATGACAACTGTTGGAGTGACCCTACCCCCACCCCAACCCCATCCCCATCCCCATACTTTACCCCACTTTACCCCATCCTCTAGTGTGTTTTGAACCTAAAAGAGATCAATTCACTTGTTGCTCTTTGCTTACTTGATGCATTGTTCATTTAGTTCAGTGTGCATTTTAAACTCCTCGTTTGCAGACGTTGTGCTGTTAAATGGAGCAGATGATATTGCAGAGGCAGCTATTAGAGAATTGCAGCAACGGCAAAAAAGCAAGACGCCAGCCAAAACGAGTACAATCATTATTACTTCAGTATATAGGGTAAGCTTGCTATGAAAATATATATTTAAAAAAAAAAAAAAAAAATGTCCCGGACAAATGGAGTCTCCATTTTTAAACAAAAAACTTCTAGTTTGGAACATATTGTTTTTCTGTTTTTTATTTATCAAGAAGTTTTACTTGAAAATACTGTTCTCCTGTTTTTCTCTTAACAAGGTGAATAATAACACAATCATTAAGTTTTAGATTCTTTTTAATTATATGAATTTTGGATTTAATATTTTAGCTGCAGTTTTCATTGAAGTTTTTTTGTTGCAAAACCATAATAATATATGTGTTTGTCTTGTAAATTATCTAATACTGTATTTTTAGAAAACAGATATTTGCAAACCTCTGAGTGCCTTTAAAAGAAGGCCAAAAAGACAAATCTTTATTTGATTTTAAATTTCAGTATCTTCTATTCCTGAAATTGGTTAAAATCTAAATTGTTTCATTTTCTGGCCATAATTTTTGCAGATTTCAACCTGTAAAACCTTAGTTGGAAAATATGCATAATCGGTAATTTATGCAAGATTACAAACCTAAAGTTATTTTTTTATTTATTTTTTAATCCCAATGGCAGGAACCAATATCTAAAGTCAACAATGACAACATTCCAACAGTTAACTTTAAGGTAGCCCTGGCTGTTGTATCCTTAAGTTGCCCGTGTTTCAGTGTTCAAATGTTTTGTCTGTTTTGAGAAATCCAGTCATCAAGAGTTCATAGTCTGTTGTGTGAAAAGCACTGGGTCCACCTTCCACACACTGTAGTGGTTTGTTTGGATGTTGCATGTGCATAATAACAATTTTGAAATAACTCATTGCTGTAGTGTAAATCTAACAGAAATGTGGCTTGGTGTGATTTGTCTTAGTGTGACTTTGTAGTGAATTACCGGAGCTGAAAGAGAGGGAGTAAGAGGGCTGATAACAGCTTATATTGACCAAGAAATAAGCTTGGTTAGTGAACATTCAAGGTATAGAAAATCACAAGTTGTTCCTAAGGCAGACTCCAAATTTGAAAAATATCTGATTTAAGAGTTTAATTCTCTCATATCTTGGCCTGTTTTGCACAGTGACATTGGTTTTTTGAGACTTCTGTTCTTCGATAGCCATTTGTTTAAAGCAGAATTTAAGATATTGGTACACAATAAATTTAGTGTTAATTAAGGTTCTTCATGAAACGGGTCACAGGTAGAAACTATTAATAAAAGTTGGACAAAAACCATAGATGTGAATCTGGCCCTCAATGTTTTCTCAGTTCATATTTCAGGTTTGATGTCCATAATTTTTTTAGATGTTTGCATGTTTTCATAAATGCTGTAGTTGTTTTTGTCTATTAAATTTCAATAATTGAGCTTAGTCAACTTTTCATTACTGTAAATTTATCTTTTGTCATGGAAATTTTAAACCTTTTTGTCATTTAAAGATTTAATTTTTATAAAAATTGCATTTTACTTCATATGGAAGATGATCCCTGGTATAAAATCCCTCTCATTAATGAAATGAAAATTATACTTTAATGTTAAAGTTGGTCCCTGGCTACAGAAAAACTGTATAATGCTTTTTCATAACCAGTAAAACCGAGAGATTGAATTTACGAGTGTACTTATTATTTTAAATTCAGTTTATGGTAACAATAGTGATTAAATAAAACAAAACGATTCTGTTTGCAGACTGAGAGTCCACCAGAAGAGGACCATGTTGAGACAGATCAGTCTTCAATTGAACCCTCCTCACCCACTGAGAAAGGTATGACAATGTGCTAAATCATTGTATAACATCTTCATGATTGAAAGTTTTTTTTTTTCCTTTTTATCCAGCAGACTAGATAATACACACATGCACACATGCACATTGGATCAAATTAGTCATGAATTCATTTTAAAAATGAAATTCTCCTGATTATTATGTTGACATTATAACAATATAGCACTGTTTTTTTTTTTTTAATGCAGGTGCTAAAAGGAAATCTCTAGGCAAAAGGTTTTTAAATCGACTACGGAAGCCCAGATCTCATAGTGTGGAAAGATCATCAAATATACCAGAGAAAAATCTACTCAAACCTCCTGGCAGAACAACAGGTATAGTTTTTAGGACCTCCACTAACACAATTGACTACAGGTATAAATCAACACACGCCTTTGATCTCATCTAACACAATCTACTATAAATCTCACCAAACACACTCCAATGATCTCCGCTAACACAATTGACTAAAGATCTTAGCCACACAACCATGTGATCTCAGCTAACACAATTGACTACAGATCTTAGCCAACACACTCCTGTGATCTCAGCTAACACAATTGACTACAGATCTTAGCCAACACACTCCTGTTATCTCAGCTAACGCACTTGACTACAGATCTTAGCCAACACACTCCTTTGATCTCAGCTAACACAATTGACTGTAGATCTTAGGCAACACAACCCTATCATCTCAACAAACACAAATGACTACAGATTCTTCAATAACACAGGACTAAACAACAACCTAACCATATATACACGCTGACATGTGTACAGATGGCCTATTTCAGCCAAGATCCCTTAAGCTTTATACTTGTGCAAGTAGGATATTAGTTTTTTCATTGTCAGCTGATAAACAAAAATTGATATGAATTAATGTACTTAAAACAGTTTCTGCTTTAAGAAAAAAGCATTTTATACTAATTTAATGTATATATAATACTGTATCAGAGATAAACTTTCTTTTACATGTTTAGTTTCAGAATTTTTTAAATTTCATAATGCACTCAGGTTGTAATGTTACCCACTATGACCTGAGATGTGAAATAAAATTATGCATGCATGCTTTTTTGTCCATGAGCATGATGCAGCCTTATCCTTAAATATTATTGCATAGTTATAGAGTTTGCCATTCTGTTTGATATAGTCATGCTTATACTAGTCATAAGTTGGTGAGCTTGGTCAAATTCATAAGAAAGTAAATTATTATTCTCTGTCACAATTAGAATAATCTCAATTGCCTGGAAAATCTGTCTACTGATTTGTTTGTTGAAGTGAAAGTATTGAAAGAAAAAGGGAGAAGGAAGAAACAGAAAGATTTTGTAGAAATAATTTCCAAATGGTGTGTGTAATTTATGTCAAGGGTTCAGTGCTTATGGTGAAGAAATCCATTAAAAATAGATTTTTGGTGGTATTTCCCTCATGTCCCTTCTAGTCTGACTTTGAAAAGAAGGTGATTATTATAATGACTTCCGTGGTGAAAATTTGAAGAAATTATTTCAAGTTCAGGTCTCCCTGCATGTGCATGTTATAAATAATTGCTTTGGTGTAAAAGCACTCTTTTGATTTCCTTAAGGTTAAAAATGGCTTTAGGACCAATGCCAATTTGTAATTCAGATGATTTATTTGTGAAATATTAACAAAATGTACACAAAATGTTTGAAAACAATTAAATGGGGCACACATACAGCAGTGTCACTGTGCTTTTTATGTCCACATATATGCATTCAAACCCTATGAATCTTTGTAGATGCGTGCATATTTTTTCTTTGGAATTATGCTGCTTTTATTGCTTAATATTATAAAAGTTAGATAGATGTGATGTTTTTAAGGTTGAATGAACTATTAGAATGTAGTTATCTCACACCTCTAGTTAGTACACAAGCACTTAGCTTTTGTCTAGTTTTATTTTCTTCTTTTTTCATTGCAGCTTTGTGAGATACTAACCTATTTTGAAAAATGTTATCTTGCACGTATGGTTTGAGTGTTTATTTTCATAATCTCGTGTTGGTGTTTCAAGTTACAAGAGGTTGTGGTAGTTGTTATATTATGGGGTGAATAATACTAGAGGCAATATTTTCTCTGTCAGGATTATATTAAAAAAGGGGTTCCAAAACTCCTTTTTTAAATGATGTATTGAAATATTTGAAAACAATATCAGTGGTAGCAATTTATATGTATGTATCATTTATCTTTTGGCCTTTTTTGGGGGCTTCTGGCCCCTTTGTCAACACAGTCCTGATTAGTGTGTTGACTTTAAAAATATGACATGGTTCTCCCATAATATTGCAAGTACTGGTCTAATTTCAACAGTGATTAGTAAAATTTAGAACTGTGTGTTTTGACATCCTTCTATTACAGGTTATGACTATCACATAGAAGGAGAGCCCAGCAACTTGCGCAGGTCACGCTCAATAGGTGGCAGTATACGCCGCCTCTTTAGTGGACGCAGATCCCGCCAGGACAAGCGTGGTACTTTGTAGATCGTAGCCACTGCATTGGCCCGTTTGCACACTGTATCGTTTGCATCACACTTCTTGCCCTTTTCATCTGCCCTCCCCCCCCCCTTCCCCTCTCCTGTCAGATATTGTAAACATGATGGAAGCCTGTTTTGGGGGAACTACGCTTTATTCTTTCTGTTGCTTGTGATGTAACAGCTCATTTCATTGGTTTTGAATTCATATTATTTTTCAAATGATAAAACTTTTAACCTTGTAAGTGTCATTAATGCAAATTTCTTTGATTCAGACTACAGACTGTATCTGATATTGCTAAAAATATTTTTTCTCAAATTATCTCCAAACTTGTGCAGTAACTAAGTTAATATGATTAATACGTATTTGACTTTTTGTGTATTTTTATAGTAAAAATGATTCATTCTGTCATCTTGCTTTTGTTGCCACAGCCATTGCACTGCTACAGTCCTCGATTGTTCAGTGTCATTCTAAAGTTCACATGTACAGCATTCTGGAGAAAGCTTCCATCTAAACTTTGCACTAATCATTAAAAACATAAAACAGGCTTCCTGATATATGACCCTCACACCCTTTCATTTGTGCCTCAGTGAATTTTGTTTTTACTGGGATCTGGTATTCTTCATTTTAAAATACATTAAAGTATAATTCACAGAAGAAGGACCCCGGGGTACGCTACGGGGTTGCCAACTCCTTAACAGGGGTTGGGGTGGGTCCATGCAGTTATGGGCAATATATATACATTTTTCCGTATAATTGTCTATTCTTTTTTCGTTCATGACATGTTGAAAAATAGATTTCCACATTTGGAGATTGTAAACTAAAAAGTTGGCAACTGTGATGAAATTAGAAATGAAAATAAATCTGTAATAAAAATGGTAGACTCATTTTTGTACAAAAAAAAATTAAGTGTGAGGATTAGTGCTTCAACTGCAGTATTACTCACCATGGCATCGGAACACCACCTTTTTATCTTTTAAAATTACTATTCAGTGCTGGAAGGTACCTTACACCGATATACTGAAGGTGCTTTTGAACAAAAAATACATTTCTAACCAACAGATAGTCTAACAGCCCATTTAGTAGGCTTCTTCAATACTGATAAGTTCATACTGATGGCTTAATTAACTTATTTGTGGGGTTGACTTAACCATTTGAAAAAAAAAATGTTAATGCCAGAGCACAGTATTTACTCAGCATGATGGATGTGAATGTAGTTGGGTGTTACTCACAGCTGCCTGATTTCATCCAGCCTTTTCTGTTTTATTTCAGTCCTATACCAAGCCACGGCTGCAACAGTTTTAGTTATAACCCTCACGGACGCCACATTTATGTTACTAGTTCTGGGAACGGACATCTTATCATTTATTATCAGATATAAGTGACCTATTTTGATGCAAATCTACCAAAATTTATCTTGAATAATTATTTTCTTGCATTGTAGATTTAAGGTAGTCAGAACTCTTATGTAAGGTAATTTATCAGATATCAGAGAAGATGTTATATTGAAACCTTTCTTGACAATAATGAAGCTACCTACATCTCAAATACATAATATAAAAGCTGATAAAACTGCAATCGTCTTAAGCCAAATTGGTAAACAGTTTTCTCTCCAATGCTCAAAATAGGTCACTTGCCATGCTCAACCACAGTGACATCATTCATTTTTCTTCCCTGTCACATTATCTCCATCATTTGCACCTCCTTGTTTTGCAGACGAGAGTGACGTAGAAATCCCAGGTGAAGGGGACACGCAGCTGTCACATAAGTCTCGCTCCTTGACGGGAAGCTTGCGCAAATTGTTCCGTCGCAAAAGGAAACGGGGTATAGACTAGCACATAACATACCTTAGCTCTAGATAGATTACCTATTTATAATTATTATTATTATTTAATGTTTTTTTATGTATTTTATCATACCATGCTTGATTGTATTATATATAACAACTGTGAAGTATGTATTATGAAATGGAATGAAAAGATTGGGAAAAACAATAGCTATCCTGTGACACTTTCACCCTTGGGGCTGTCATGGCTATGATATTTGTGCCAGTTAGCTATGCTTTAATGGTAAAACTGTTACAGTCAATAAACGGGTCTAGGCAGCTGCTGTGGGCCATGGTCAATGCTTAATTAATGCCCCCCTCAGTGCAAACTTTTCTGTGCGACCATATATGGAGTAATTCAATAAGTTATTACCATAAATGGACTGATATTCAGATTTTTGAAGTTCCCGGCTGACCACATATGGATTGAGTGTCAGGATTCTGTTGAACAATGTTCAGGTATTGGTTCAAGGGCTAGTTTTTTGTCATCAACTATTGAAACACAAGAAATTTCATTTACAAGTATTGGTCCTGGCCATTGAGATAAGACCTCTGCTTTAAAAGAGATGATGGGTAAAAAAAAATTTTTTTTAACTTTCCCAGAATAGTTTGTGTGGCAGCACCAAAAAATGTCATGTCTAAAATGTCAGTCAAGTAATTCTGCAAATGCTGCTGCTTTTTGAAAATTAATATATGATAGTAATATTTACCCGAGTGTGAACTTTTACTTTATTATCAGAGATTAGTGTCAGGGGTAGTTCATGCATATTTCTCTAAAGATGTGATAAGGATACAAAGCAGCCCACAATCACATCAGACAAAAGTTGTTTCATGCAGAATGAATTGTTGGATATTTTCATAATTTTAAACATAATCAATGAGGTTAGTTGTCCCCATATCTCATATTTTGGTGGCTAAGTTACACAGACTAAGAAAAGTTCATATGGGGCAAACCTTCATTTTTCTTGTAAGTTTGTAAATCTATTAATTAAACCTTATATTAAAAATCTAAATTTTTTTTTCAGGAGATTCCTCACCAGGTCCTTCACGAGAAAGTTCAATGTCACGCGCATCAACACGGTCACACGATCAAGAAATGAGGTCAGCTTCCGTAACGGCACAGGCTGGCGACTCACCAAGACAGTCTGTAACAGGTCAATGACAAATATCGCCCATGATAACAGCCAAAGACATTTAAAACTTACTCTGAAGAAGAAAATGCACAGTGTGAATATGTTCTGATGTTTTAGTAGCACTTCTTAGGTGGAAACAAGTAGGACAATCACATATGTCTGTGTGTAGATTCTCAGGCCAGGAAGAAAAGATAAAAAGGTGTTGCATGCAATTTATGGAAAACATAAGTGGAAACAACTTTCATATAACAAAGAGATGAGTTGCTCAGTAAAAGGTGCAGGAATATAAGCATAATGTTTGATGTTTGGGGAAGTTAAACTTTAAGATGGGTAAATGGACAATCAGCCCACCGCTGCCACCAAGGAAGTGGAAATGTCAAGGTTATAGAGAGTCTCTCTTTGCCTTGTATCTGGTCTTTTAATGGAGTCTTACAAGCTCTTGATTCAGTCAAGAATTGTAATGAAAATCACATTGATATTAGATATGGTGATGAATATCTACAATATATATATTATATATAATATGTGATATTATTCATCATATATAATATATAATGCATGGTGATGAATTTACAGGAAACTGTGGTTGGAAGATGTAAAAACAGAAACCTTGATGGATTTTATCTGTTTGTTTAGTCAATTATTTAAGAAAGTACATCGTTTTTTTTAGCAGGCGGTTTAATTTATAGATAGCACAACTTGGTGTGATGTCTTTAAAAGAAGGTTATTAGTTTTGTTTAAAAGGCAGCTGATAGTGGAGCTCTTATTATCAAATGTTTTTTCAAAGCACAAAAGATCAGTTGAATCTAGATAGGTACAGGGTAAAGAAAACCGTACCAGTTTTGAGCAGGGTGTGAAAAACAGGAAAATTTGCTTGTAGTTTGAACAGCATTTTTAGCATTGGTGTCTGTATAAATATTCAGTTTAGTCTTGGGGTGTGTGATGTATAGGAGTACTAGTACTATAATTGGTAAGCTGCTTTGGTCTTGTGTTTGCAGCTTTGCTCAATTTCCTAAGTTGGTGCCGCCTACATGAACTCCCGTCCCTAGATTGATGCAACATACATGGACACATTGCCAAGCAAATCTGTTGGTGCCAGCTGTCTGGAACTTTTAGAAATTACATCAGTTCCAAGGTTTTTCATATTGTTTTTAAAATAATGTAAAAAAAGTTGAACTTATGAAATTATCTTTGCTTAATAATTTATTTGATATTTGTTTTACAAAACTATTTGATCAATTGACCTTTGAAAAAAATCATGGTTTCATAACAAAATTGAAAGGAATGCACATAGGAAATATTTATTGTCTTTTAGATGATATATTTATTTGAAGATGTTTCGGGTGTGTTTAAGAGCACAGTTTGCTAGTGTGGTGTTTGTGCACTTTATTCATGAACAATATTTCCCCTTTCCTCTAGATCTTTAATATGCATTCATAAGGAGTGACTCAATTTTCTTTGAGAGTGTAAGTTATTTTTTTTTCTTTTTTGTAGTTTATAAAGGCTGTTAAGGCCTTGCTTTGAATTGTGCAATTACAATAAGTTATTCATCTCAAAGAAAATAAATTATTGCAAAATAAAGATGAATACAGTATAAGAGTACACATGCAGGAGAAAAAAAAATGTGAATGGATTAGTTAACCTGAGGCTCATAATTATGAACAAATTTCATTTGTTAAAAACTTTTTGTGTGATTTGAAATCTTTATGTAAAACTATGATCGTGTTGTGCAATGCCAAATTGTAAGATTGCGTTAGATGTGATCTCGAGTAAAAGAGGACTCTTGAATGTGCCACCAGTGCTTGTATGTGTCAGTGTGCTAGATGTGACAAAAATGTGCTTCTAAGTGTTCAAGCAATTTCAACAGCTCCTTTAGAAGCTTCTAATGTCTGTACGTCAATTTTAAGAAACTCCATCTCTTTGAAAGTTGCGTCATTTAACATTTACTCTTGGATTGTTTTACCAGAGCAGTAGATAGATAGATATAATCTTGCTTGTTTTTATTGGTGCTGCAAGCAATACCGTATTTCTCAGATCTCAGAACAATCGGGTGAGACATTTTTTTGGCTCTCTGTAATTAAAAGGCATAGTGTAACATAAAATGAATAGGTTTTTCATTTTCTTTGAAAAGTAGTACTGCAGCAGTTATGTACAACTCTGAGCTGTGAATGTATTTTAGTTCATTTAATTTGTAGATAATATTGCCACTGTAGATGTTCTGTTGATTTGGCTGAGGCTATCTCAAAGAAAAAAAAATGTCATTACAGAATTTACAATTATAATGACTCATGGAATCAACCAATGACCTGTCCTTTGTTTTAATCCAATTTCTAGAACCTTCAAGCTGTTCCAACTAATTTAAATTATTTATTTGAAAATGAAATGAAGCGCATTTTAGTATAAGATGACCCCTTGCTTGTTGTAGAGATATTTTTGTAGCTATTTACGTATGCTGTATATAAAGGTTGTTCTTGTTGATGGTTATTTTGTATTTACAGCATCCTGTTGTTCAAACATTTAATCAGATCAATTAGTAGTGCAATAAGGTTAATTTGGGCTTTAACAGGATGGAATTCTTGCAGAATTTATCAGACACTATATACAGTCAGTTTATAATGAGTTTCAGTTCCGGTTATATAATATCGTAACACCTGGCTGATCTGCTGTTTGTTACCATACAATCTGTAATGATAAATAACAGTTTATAATCTGATATTTTTAAAGCTTTTTTTTTCTTGTAGTGACGCATTTCAATTCAATTGGATTTCTTTTAAACTGGCATCTAACAGCAGTACAAAAAAAGTTGGAAATTTTTTGAATATCATTTATGGAAGGTGACCAATTTCTTTAAAAAAAGCAAAACACCCAGTGACTAAAGGCTGGATTTTACTTGAAGCAGCATAATTGTATACGTAGTTATTGCTCATTTTTTATAGATGGCTGTTGACTACATTTCTGACAAGATAACTTTTTGTGGGTAGTTGCTAAAAGTAGCCTTAATATAGGCCATGGGTAGTTCTGATCTTTCCCTGCTGTTGTTTTGTAAACATGCTTTTTGTATGTGCTACATCAATTTCATAATTGAAAAAAGTTTTAATATCCACATAATGTTTTTGGCGTGTAATGGAATAAAGGCAGTTAATCGATGGGTAGGTACAAAGAATACACTTTGGGAGGGGGGTATTGCAACAGATGATCTTAAATGGAAACTTGCAAACTTGCTCATTAAGTAACTCTTTAAGTTCCTGTAGGCCTTATTTTGATGATCATGGTTGCCTTTACTGCTCTTATTCTCAAATTTGATAATTTTGCTCTCTCTTGGATCATTTTCATTTCAGTTAAGCAAAGATGGAAGGCATCTTAGTAGATTAAATTGTAAAAACTGGACTGAGTTAAAAGAAACAATAAAATAGTCAAAATGTTTTCATTTATTTGTTTTTATTATTATTATTATTTATTTTCAATCATTTTAATATATCAAGTACTATTTTTTATAATTTCTTTTGTAATATGGTTTTAATGCAATCCTTACCCACAGGCAAATGTAAAAATACAGAAATAATAGAGAATTTTTTTCCCTTTCATTTTAACCGAAGATGTATCCAAGCATAATGTGACTATGCAAAATAACATACTCCCATTTTATGTCATCTTAACTTGACATTTATTCTAAGGAGAGGCCATTTATGCAGTTAAATCATATTCTTTCATAATATGTATCACATATAATATGATGCATTCTGTTAACAAAAGATATTAGTACAGTAATCTCTTTGCACAATGATTAACTCCTTACACCTACACCATACAATAAAAAGTTTGAAAGGTGTTATACATATAGCAAATTGATGTGGTCAAATATAGCAAGAAATCTCTCATTTTACTAATATCTTCTGAGAATATAAATCCCTGTATTGACCATTTAGACTGAGTTGACAGTGTAATCTTTTTGATTGGAAAAAGGATAGTCCTGGACTCTTGACACTCATCCAGGTCCCAGTTTCACAGGTTTCCTGGCTAAGAACTTAACTACCATAGTTACATGGCCCCAAGCACACATCTTACCCTATCAGGAACAGTGTAACATCACTTTCATGGAAATCCTCTGAGTAGTCAACTTTTTTTTTTAGGCCAGTTCAACAAAATCCACCAAAAACCTCTCACATTTCACCAATTCAAAATTTGACCAGAAAGTCAGTGCTTAAAAAACAAGCACAGTACAATGAGCATCAATAATAATAATAATTAATGACTAAAAATGAAATAACAATAACTTAAAAAGCAGATTGCAGCTGTCTTGGTTGATAACTCCCCAGGTTGGTAAATGAGACTACTGCAGAACTGGGCACACCCATAAAAAACAATCCTAAGTGGAATAGCCTGCTGACCTAGTTTATTGAAGGCATCTAACAAAGAGTATCTTCACATCTATTAATACAGAGCTTCAGCTTCTTCATAACTATTTATTCCCAATGATGGAAAGCTCTTAATATTTAACCGTAGCAAGAGAAATAGCATAAGATTCAAATGTCATAGAACACCCAAGCTAATGGATACCTGATCAGAAATGCCACACCACTGCAAAGTATCTGAAAGAAAACGAGAAGAAATTAAAGCAATAATATTTAAATATCAACTTGCATGTCTCTCTCATACAATCAGTTGCCTATTATATTACAGAATAAATACATCTATTAGTTTCATTTTCATTTTTTACAAATATGAGTGGTAATTGTATCCTTTTTCAGACATGGGGAAACTGCTGGTTTGACGGGTCATGACTGCCTGAAAAGCCAGAGGTCCTGTATGATTTTTGTTAATGCAGGTCCTCTGGACTGGCAAGGTTTACATGGAGATACACTACATAAAAATGAATCATGCCTAAATATCGTCAAAGAGACCTGCCAAGAATTAGAAGGACCTGCAGATCTCTTGTAGTGCAGGTCCTCTGGACCTTCAGTACCTCCAAAGTTTTCCCCATGTCTGCCTTTTTCTAAAAACGTCACAGGTCATTCAAAGGAGTTCTTAACAATGGCATCTTTAAAAAACTACAGCTTAATTTATAACCAATAACATCAAAATTTCTTGCTGTAAGTATTATTAAAATGCACCTTCTTGAAGTTCTTGTTTTTTAATTGCCCATTATCTTTCATTTCACAACTCACCTGTATACTGAGCAGTGACATTACTAAACTCCTTTCGTGCATAGGACCAAATATCTTGAGCATCAGGTTGATAATGGTCAGATTATTGCATTCAGAGTATTCTCCATCCTCACCTATCCCAGACCTCAGATGGACCAGACCAAATATGCTGAGTGTTTTCAGAAATAGTGACCCCAGAGGGTGAAGTTCTTTGGTTTTGAAAGTGGACAGACTCATGCCTACTTGGTCAGTGCTGGCATTGTACCTGAAATAGAATTGTATCAAAATTATGTGAAAATAAGAATTTCAAATCTGTTATATGTGTGGGCTTAGAAATTTTTATAACTTTTTCTGTTATGGATAATGATAACTAAAAATACCCGATTCTTGATTGCAGAAAAAATGTACAGAGATCTTTTATTACAATAAGATATTTAAAAGTAGAAACAAAACTATTATTTAGTTTACTGACCAACAATATACAAATTTAAATCACAACTACAAATTGAGCCTTATCTACACAATTCCAGAAATATAAGTCTCTGTCCTTGTTAAAACAATACATCAAACTTGCATATCATAACACTGGCATATCTATCTGTTACAGCCTTTAGATAAAATGTAATTCTTTGCAATCCACAGTTTAATTCTATGCGATACTCAGATAGGATTTATGAGGCAAGGAGCAAAGACAAGGCTATGGCAGTACTGCTAATACTGAATCATACACATATGTACNGTTCCAACTAGTTAAAATTATTTATTTGAAAATGAAATGATGCACATTTTAGTATAAGATGACCCCATGCTTGTTGTAGAGATATTTTTGTAGCTATTTACGTATGCTGTATATAAAGGTTGTTCTTGTTGATGGTTATTTTGTATTTACAGCATCCTGTTGTTAAAACATTTAACCAGATTGATTAGTAGTGCAATAAGGTTAATTTGGGCTTTAACAGGATGGAATTCTTGCAGAATTTATCAGACACTATATACAGTCAGTTTATAATGAGTTTCAGTTCCGGTTATATAATATCGTAACACCTTACTGAAACTGCTGTTTGTTGCCATGCAATCTGTAATGATAGATAACGGTTTATAATCTGAAATTTTTAAAGCTTTTTTTTTCTTGTAGTGACTCATTTCAATTAAATTGGATTTCTTTTCAACTGGCATCTAACAGCAGTACAAAAATGTTGGAATTTTTTTGAATATCATTTATGGAAGGTGACCAATTTCTTTTAAAAAAAGCATAAGACCCAGTGACTAAAGGCTGCATTTTACTTGAAACAGCATAATTGTATAGTTATTGCTCATTTTTCATAGATGGCTGTTGACTATATTTCTGACAAGATAACTTTTTGTGGGTAGTTGCTAAAAGTAGCCTTAATATAGGCCATGGGTAGTTCTGGTCTTGCCCCGCTGTTGTTTTGTAAACATGCTTTTTGTATGTGCTAAATCAATTTCATAATTGAAAAAAGTTTTAATATCCACATAATGTTTTTGGCGTGTAATGGAATAAAGGCAGTTAATCTATGGGTAGGTTCAAAGAATAGACTCTGGGAGGGGGATATTGCAGCAGATGTTTTTAAATAGAAACTTGCGAACTTGCTCATTAAATAACTCTTTAAGTTCCTGTAGGCCTTATTTTGATGATCATGGTTGCCTTTACTGCTCTTATTCTCAAATTTGATAATTTTGCTCTCTCTTGGATCATTTTCATTTCAGTTAAGCAAAGATGGAAGGCATCTTAGTAGATATTAAATTGTAAAAACTGGACTGAGTTAAAAGAAACAATAAAATAGTCAAAATGTTTTCATTTATTTGTTTTTATTATTATTATTTATTTTCAATCATTTTAATATATCAAGTACTATTTTTTATAATTTCTTTTGTAATATGGTTTTACTGCTATCCTTACCCACAGGCAAATGTAAAAATACAGAAATAATAGAGAATTTTTTCCCTTTCATTTTAACCAAAGATGTATCCAAGCATAATGTGATTATGCAAAATAACATACTCCCATTTTATGTCATCTTAACTTGACATTTATTCTAAGAAGGAAAGATGCCATTTATGCAGTTAAATCATATTCTTTCATAATATGTATCATATATATTATGATGCATTCTGTTAACAAAAGATATTAGTACAGTAATCTCTTTCCACAATGATTAACTCCTTACACCTACACCATACAATAAAAAGTTTGAAAGGTGTCATACATATAGCAAATTGATGTGGTCAAATATAGCAAGAAATCTCTCATTTTACTAATATCTTCTGAGAATATAAATCCCTGTATTGACCATTTAGACTGAGTTGACAGTGTAATCTTTTTGATTGGAAAAAGGATAGTCCTGGACTCTTGACACTCATCCAGGTCCCAGTTTCACAGGTTTCCTGGCTAAGAACTTTAACTACCATAGTTACATGGCCCCAAGCACACATCTTACCCTATCAGGAACAGTGTAACATTACTTTCATGGAAATCCTCTGAGTAGTCAACTAGGCCAGGAAACTGACCTTAGCTTTTTTTTTAGGCCAGTTCAACAAAATCCACCAAAAACCTCTCACATTTCACCAATTCAAAATTTGACCAGAAAGTCAGTGCTTAAAAAAACAAGCACAGTACAATGAGCATCAATAATAATAATTAATGACTAAAAATAAAATAACAATAACTTAAAAAGCAGATTGCAGCTGTCTTGGTTGATTACTCCCCAGGTTGGTAAATGATACTACTGCAGAACTGGGCACACCCATAAAAAAACAATCCTAAGTGGAATAGCCTGCTGACCTAGTTTATTGAAGCCATCTAACAAAGAGTATCTTCACATCTATTAATACAGAGCTTCAGCTTCTTCATAACTATTTATTCCCAATGATGGAAAGCTCTTAATATGTAACTGTAGCAAGAGAAATAGCATAAGATTCAAATGTCATAGAACACCCAAGCTAATGGATACCTGATCAGAAATGCCACACCACTGCAAAGTATCTGAAAGAAAATGAGAAGAAATCAAAGCAATAATATTTAAATATCAACTTGCATGTCTCTCTCATACAATCAGTTGCCTATTATATTACAGAATAAAGACATTTATTGGTTTCATTTTCATTTTTTACAAATATGAGTGGTAATTGTATCCTTTTTCAGACATGGGGAAACTGCTGGTTTGACGGGTCATGACTGCCTGAAAAGCGAGAGGTCCTGCATGATTTTTGTTAATGCAGGTCCTCTGGACTGGCAAGGTTTACATGGAGATACACTACATAAAAATGAATCATGCCTTAATATCGTCAAAGGGACCTGGCAAGAATTAGAAGGACCTGCAGATCTCTTGTAGTGCAGGTCCTCTAGACCTTCAGTACCTCCAAAGTTTTCCCCATGTCTGCCTTTTTCTAAAAACGTCACAGGTCATTCAAAGTTCTTAACAATGGCATCTTTAAAAAACTACAGCTTAATTTATAACCAATAACATCAACATTTCTTGCTGTAAGTATTATTAAAATGCACCTTCTTGAAGTTCTTGCTTTTTAATTGCCCATTATCTTTCAATTCACAACTCACCTGTATACTAAGCAGTGACATTACTAAACTCCTTTCGTGCATAGGACCAAATATCTTGAGCATCAGGTTTATAATGGTCAGATTATTGCATTCAGAGTATTCTCCATCCTCCCCAATCCCAGACCTCAGATGGACCAGACCAAATATGCTGAGTGTTTTCAGAAATAGTGACCCCAGAGGGTGAAGTTCTTTGGTTTTGAAAGTGGACAGACTCATGCCTACTTGGTCAGTGCTGGCATTGTACCTGAAATAGAATTGTATCAAAATTATGTGAAAATAAGAATTTCAAGTCTGTTATGTGTGTGGGCTTAAAAATTTTTATAACTTTTTCTGTTATGGATAATGATAACAAAAAATACCCGATTCTTGATTGCAGAAAAAAATGTACAGAGATCTTTTTTAACAATAAGATATTTAAAAGTAGATACAAAACTATTATTTAGCTTACTGACCAACAATATACAAATTTAAATCACAACTACAAATTGAGCCTTATCTACACGATTCCAGAAATCTAAATCTCTGTCCTCGTAAAAAAATACATCAAACTTGCATATCATAACACTGGCATATTTATCTGTTACAGCCTTTAGATAAAATGTAATTCTTTGCAATCCACAGTTTAATTCTATACAATACTCAGATAGGATTTATGAGGCAAGGAGCAAAGACAAAGCTATGGCAGTACTGCTAATACTGAATCATACACATATGTAGCAGTTTGGGTTGTATGTTCTCTATGGAGGTGAGATCAATTTACACCTGAATAGATCCATAAAAGTTAGGCGAAATCTGTTCAATCAGTTTATCTAGTTTCTCGTGAATTTGACCCAAACTTTGCCTGTATCTTTTAATTTTGAGCTAGTAAGTAAATATGCTTTAAATCTAACTCACCTTGGCAACCTATGTCTTGGACAGGGAACAAAAAGGAAAATCTGTGGCATAGAGTAGAGAAAGTTTAAAACTTGTGGGATGAAAAATAGCAGCATGGTTTTGCTGAAGTGACCCAGTATGGCGACAACAGCAAATGTCATCCCAGAGAAATAACAGAACGTGTCTCCCACAAATACTTTGGAGGGATACCTAGAATGAAAGTGTTAAAAATAAAAAAAGCCTCAATAAATAAAATTTTGTGAAATTTATAGACATACAAACAAATACTTTGCCACACAAAATTAGGATATGCTTCAACAACGTCAAACCGAAAACAAAACCAACAAAAAAGTATTTGAAAACATACAAATTTTGGTATACATCTAACTTAAGTTATTGCTTTCCTTTAATATAAATCAAGAGGACCTTGGTGGGTGATGCAGTCTTCAAATAAAAAAGAAATTATCAAGTTCTGTACACTTGTTGCTCAAAATAAAATTCAATATTAATAAATTTTATAAATAATCTACTAATTAATAGAGGCAAAATTTCAATTACACTTTGGCATAACACAAATAAAACTTCACATCATGAAAACTCGACCACTTCTGGATTTAACTTACACAAACTTACCAATTATAAAATAGCAAAGCTGAGGAAACACCTATATATGGCAACATGAAGTACAGAGAGAATGTGTGCGTGTCAGCAAATTGACCTGGAAGGCAAATAATTTCGCACGAGTTGTATTTATTTGTTAACATTCTGACAAAAATATATATGAAGTAATAGAAATAAAATATTAAGTAATAATAAAAAGACAAAACCATTAAAATCTCATTATGTGCTTGATTCATAATACACAGTGAAATACATTTGTATTTGTTTGTAAACAAATACTAGCCTGTCCTTAAAAAGAGCGCCAACTGGGTTACTGATAACCAAAGATAAGAACAAAGAGATCCATAATTCATTGTCCCCAACTGGTTTATTGATAACATGAGATAACTGCTCTACATAACAGCAGAACAGTTCACTCCACGCCCAAAAAGATGGCTACAGCTTGTGATGACAGAGATGAAGAAGAAAACGTACGAGTCAAAACATCTGAACACTTTGTGAGCTGCCCATTATGCCTTGTGGAGTACAAAAACCCAACAGATTTACCATGTAGGCATACATTTTGTAAAGGCTGTTTGAAGACTTATATTTCTGATTTAACACCAGGAAGTAAATTCCAATGCCCCATGTGTCAGAAAGAAACTGAAGTTCCTAAAGATGGACTTGAGGGTTTCAGTCATAATTTCTTCATTGAAAGCTTGCAGGACACTGTACTTCAGTCAACAAATAAGAAGAAGTGCAGCTTTTGTACTTTGGTATTCAAAAGAGAAACTGCAGCTACATCAAAATGCATCACCTGTCATGATTACCTATGTGAGGAGTGTTCCCCACTCCACTGTGGTAGCAGACTCACTAAAGACCACAGAGTTCTCACTTTTACACAACTTCGCAGTGGTGAGTACCAAAGAGAGATCCAAGAGCAGCAAAAGATTATCTGTCCAGAGCACAAAGACGAGATGATAAGATACTTCTGTTCAGAATGCAATGTCCCCATCTGTCGTGACTGCAGAGATCNCAGTTTGGGTTGTATGTTCTCTATGGAGGTGAGATCAATTTACACCTGAATAGATCCATAAAAGTTAGGCGAAATCTGTTCAATCAGTTTATCTAGTTTCTCGTGAATTTGACCCAAACTTTGCCTGTATCTTTTAATTTTGAGCTAGTAAGTAAATATGCTTTAAATCTAACTCACCTTGGCAACCTATGTCTTGGACAGGGAACAAAAAGGAAAATCTGTGGCATAGAGTAGAGAAAGTTTAAAACTTGTGGGATGAAAAATAGCAGCATGGTTTTGCTGAAGTGACCCAGTATGGCGACAACAGCAAATGTCATCCCAGAGAAATAACAGAATGTGTCTCCCACAAATACTTTGGAGGGATACCTAGAATGAAAGTGTTAAAAATAAAAAAAGCCTCAATAAATAAAATTTTGTGAAATTTATAGACATACAAACAAATACTTTGCCACACAAAATTAGGATATGCTTCAACAACGTCAAACCGAAAACAAAACCAACAAAAAAGTATTTGAAAACATACAAATTTTGGTATACATCTAACTTAAGTTATTGCTTTCCTTTAATATAAATCAAGAGGACCTTGGTGGGTGATGCAGTCTTCAAATAAAAAAGAAATTATGAAGTTCTGTACACTTGTTGCTCAAAATAAAATTCAATATTAATAAATTTTATAAATAATCTACTAATAGAGGCAAAATTTCAATTACACTTTGGCATAACACAAATAAAACTTCACATCATGAAAACTCGACCACTTCTGGATTTAACTTACACAAACTTACCAATTATAAAATAGCAAAGCTGAGGAAACACCTATATATGGCAACATGAAGTACAGAGAGAATGTGTGCGTGTCAGCAAATTGACCTGGAAGGCAAATAATTTCGCATGAGTTGTATTTATTTGTTAACATTCTGACAAAAATATATATGAAGTAATAGAAATAAAATATTAAGTAATAATAAAAAGACAAAACCATTAAAATCTCATTATGTGCTTGATTCATAATACACAGTGATATACATTTGTATTTGTTTGTAAACAAATACTAGCCTGTCCTTAAAAAGAGCGCCAACTGGGTTACTGATAACCAAAGATAAGAACAAAGAGATCCATAATTCATTGTCCCCAACTGGTTTATTGATAACATGAGATAACTGCTCTACATAACAGCAGAACAGTTCACTCCACGCCCAAAAAGATGGCTACAGCTTGTGATGACAGAGATGAAGAAGAAAGCGTACGAGTCAAAACATCTGAACACTTTGTGAGCTGCCCATTATGCCTTGTGGAGTACAAAAACCCAACAGATTTACCATGTAGGCATACATTTTGTAAAGGCTGTTTGAAGACTTATATTTCTGATTTAACACCAGGAAGTAAATTCCAATGCCCCATGTGTCAGAAAGAAACTGAAGTTCCTAAAGATGGACTTGAGGGTTTCAGTCATAATTTCTTCATTGAAAGCTTGCAGGACACTGTACTTCAGTCAACAAATAAGAAGAAGTGCAGCTTTTGTACTTTGGTATTCAAAAGAGAAACTGCAGCTACATCAAAATGCATCACCTGTCATGATTACCTATGTGAGGAGTGTTCCCCACTCCACTGTGGTAGCAGACTCACTAAAGACCACAGAGTTCTCACTTTTACACAACTTCGCAGTGGTGAGTACCAAAGAGAGATCCAAGAGCAGCAAAAGATTATCTGTCCAGAGCACAAAGACGAGATGATAAGATACTTCTGTTCAGAATGCAATGTCCCCATCTGTCGTGACTGCAGAGATCTACACCATGATGGTCACACACTTATCTCTCTTGAAAAAGCTGTAGAGATTGTAAAACCAAAACTTCAGATCAAATTTAACAGCACTGAGAGAAGGTTTGCCATAGGTGAAAAAACCTTAGCTAAAATTGATGAAACATTACTAACCCTCCAAGCAAACGAAAGCTCTATTCAGCAGCAAATAAAAGCTCGTGCATCTCACCTTCATCAACTGGTAGAACAGCGAGAGAAGACATTACTACAGCAGCTCCATGAAACCAGCAGCACTTACAGGAAGAATTTACAAATTTCTCGTGAGAACTGCAGTGCCACTTGCTCCTCTATCAAAACCGTATCAGATGTAGTAAAGAACATTCTTCAGCATGGTGCCCCCATTGATATCCTCATGTTACAACACCAACTTGGACAGAGACTAGATGAGCTACTGTCCACTTCAGCTGTGGATGAAATTCCTGAAGAGCTGAAACTCACACTGACCACCAACACAGAAGTGGACCACGAGATATCCGGTGGGGCTGGCCTGGGGAATGTGCACATATCAGCTTTGCCCAAGTTCAAACCACAGGTTGAATGTTTGCTGGAGTTTGACACTGGCTGTGAAAAACCAGTTGACATTTCAGTGAGTCCAACCCAGGAGTATGTAACTACACATGGCAGCAATAAAAACAAGGTCAAGGTTTTTAGTTCAGATGGTGCATTGACAAAGGAGATCACCACTGTCTCGGGTACACGACTAAAATGTCCACTAGGGATCTGTCATTTCCCCGATAGAAGGATGGTTCTATCTGATGCTCGCAACAACAAATTGTTCATCCTGTCACCACAGTGGGAAGTACAGCAAACTGTAGATATCAACAACCCAAGGGGTGTAGCTCTCAATAACAGCTGCACTAAGATTGCTGTGGCACAGGGTAACCAAAAGTCTGTGAGTGTGTTCAGTATTGATAACAAAGGGAAAATAACTTTAACTGATGTTATACGGGACAAAGATGGGGAACAAATGTTCAATAATCCATATAAAGTGGCATTTATGAGCAATGGGTGCCTTGTTGTTAGTGATACATCACAAAACAAACTTCACATCCTAACCCCATCTGGTGATTCACTAGATCAGTACACAGGACCTGATAACAAGTTAGGTCAACCCCTTGGTATCTGTGTTGATGCATATGACCACATGGCGGTCACAGACTATAATAAGCAATGCATATACTTCGTATCCCCAGATGGGAGGTTCGTGCAGTACAAAGCAACAGAAGCTGATGGACTAAATGGACCATGGGCATGTACCATTAACCAGGATGGGGATCTGGCTGTGACTGAACTTAATGGGAAAGTGAAAGTATTCCAATACTTGGAGAAATGACGTCATTTAAAATGCTATAAAACTGAATATTATGCAGTTTTTTGTGATTTCTAAAAATAGTATTTTATTGTCACTGTGGTGATTGCATGGCTAAATTAACAATTCACAAACCTATTTTTAATCAATTTTAGTGATGTTGATCACTCTTGTGTGTTTGAAGACTATAGACCTATTGGTTTTCCTTGAAATGTGTTACCTTCATTGCATATAGGATAATTTATGCTGAAAAAAAAAACAAAAAAAAAAAACAGCGATAAAAATGTTCAGAACGCACTGATTTTTGAATGCAACCTAATTTAGTAACACTGATCTCTGTAAGATCTTGAAAGGTTTTCCCTGAAATGTGTTAATTGTGTTGCATATAGTATAACATATGCTGTAAAAAAATAGCATAACTTAAATTGTCTAATCGAGATGATTTTTGTACTCAACCTGTATCTTACGTATAAATGTTCATCAATTCTGTGAGTTTGAATACATAAGGTGAAAGGGTTTTCTACATGTTGTGTTATCTCTGAAAGTGCACAGTGATGGCAACAGTGTTGGCAATGTTGAAACAGCTGACAGCTATATGAACAAATGTGTCTGTACATAAAAATGTAGTATTGCGAAAGCAGGAATTTTATATTCCTTGGATTTGTTAATGTCAATGAGAATATGAATTTTTAAAATTAATTCATAACTTCCATTTAATAGCAATTTGATTTTATCTCACAAAACTCACTTTAACACACTCAGTAAGACACTTCAAGCAAATGCTATTATTTGGATAAAGAAAGTGTAAAATGGCAATTTACTATAATTTTTCGCAAATTTACTATAATTTATTTTATTTTCTAAATATTGATCTCACTAAAAATTAAGCAAGGCAAAAATCTGACTAAAAACGACTCTGCATCTAAAATTGAGCCAGCTATATAAGGTCACTTGTAGAAATCACTTACCATTGAGTTCTAAAAGATTGAACACCACTACAGAGATTGCAATGATCAGAGACTGACCACATTCTAAACCATTGACTCCCGCCAGTATGTTGATAGCATTGGTACAGAAGACAGCTAGCATCCCCATATACAGGTAATATATTACACCTGGATATAAAAAGCAACAGTAAGTGCTGGCAAGATTACACTAACTAAAATACACTGTGTATTGTTCAGCATAATATTACAAAACAATCTGAAAATTAAGACCAGGGTATCTACATAAAATACTGTGTAGATAATGTTCTAAGTTATCTATCAAGTTAGTTCTTAGTGGTGACCTCTGTATGCCTCGATTTCTTCACCATATCAAAATAATGTGGCCTGAATTAATCTAATTCTTCAATAAAGATGGCCAAATAATACAACTAAATACCTAGATCCACATCATGTCCAAAAACTCCCCGTAGAGGCTTGGGAACAATAATTGTGGTGGAGTCTATGTTGACAAAATACACCATAAGAAGCGGTAAGGTTGCCATAGTAGGCAGCAGCAGCTTGTGGCGCCACCTCAAGTCTAAGACGTCGTCTGCGAAACCCAGGAATATCATACAGCATATGGATAGCAGTGCTGTGATGAAATCTACAAACTGGAATGTCAAGAAAAGAGAATCAGATCAACTCTATAATAAAATTGAGGAAGGTTATCTAATAGAAAGTGTATGTTTGAGAAATTTCAGAATGTTTCCAGTTGTAAACCAAAGCCAACTGTCCTCAAGACTTACATATAGTTTATCTAATGTTTAATTTATTTTGTTTTGATAATCATACATATTTTGCTTATTGTATACTTGTGTATCATGGGCTACAAGAATACATGTAAAATAGACAACACACAACACCAAAGCATGTAAGATTAAATAATTATATCAAAAAAAATTTCTTTAATTTTTCTTAAACTTGATAAAATACTTACCTCGTGATGGGGAAACTTATCCAAGTTGTCATGTGACAAGTATTTGTAGAATGGAACTGGGATGAACAAAAACATGATGATGAGGTAGACTGCACCACACAGCACTCCTTGGGACTCTGGTCTGAAATACAACAAGGACATAGTCATTATTATTTAAAACCAAAACCTTACATCAAAAGAACTTTGTAGTACACTTTACACAATTCATTTCAGGCAACTATATATATTACAATAGCAATGCACATTGAATATGTGACGCTAAAAGAAACAGTTTTCCTTGGGTCAGGTTTTGGGAAGAAAAAGAAAAAATTCTTTATCTTTAATGGTTCTTTAGTTGACATGTGCATTGGAGTATGTGTATGTATCTGTTTGGGAGTGGAAGGGGGTATAAATCACACTGATGCAACATCAGTTGGTTTTGCAATATATAAATTATAATATTTACTACATTATATACAGTCTATATATCACAATTCCACATATGTAAAAGTGTGGTTTTTTGACTATTTGCACTATTTTTAACATAAACTTCAGCACATTTATCTATGATTAAAAAAAAAATCATATTAAAGTATTAAATGTGGAACACAATTATGTTTGCTTTGAAGTTTAAGCTTACATTTTTTCTTTGGTCCTTTTGCTTTGATCAATCCCATAGCGATTGGCTTTTAAAAACATGTCTCTGAAAGCGGGAATGATGGTATAAGTGACCAAAAAGCCTGCACCTGCCAGTGCCATACTGACAAACACTGGCAAATTCTCGCTGCTAGCATACATATTGAAATAAAATGTTATTAATAGTTACAAATAGGAAATATTAACTCCCTTGACCACCATATTACATCTCGCGTGATTTTGACACGTTCCACGTTGTTGACCTATATCTGCGCGGACTTGTGAGAGAGCAATGTCCCGTGGGTTTGTGATTGGGCAATCGTCGGTGGGAAGGATTTTGATTGGTGGTGCACAAGATCCTATCACGTGGTTTTAGAACTGCATTTATACATAAATTTTCAAATTTTTGGATTATTGCACATCTCGGATTGTAGCTGTCTGTTGTTAGTTCCGTACGCTGTAGATTACAAGATGTCTGGACGTGGTAAGGGAGGAAAGGCAAGAGCAAAGGGAAAGAGCAGATCATCCCGTGCTGGACTTCAGTTCCCCGTGGGCAGAATCCACCGTCTTCTCCGCAAGGGTAACTATGCTCAGCGTGTAGGAGCCGGTGCCCCGGTCTACCTGGCTGCCGTGCTCGAGTATCTGGCCGCCGAGGTCCTCGAGTTGGCGGGAAATGCAGCCCGTGACAACAAAAAATCAAGAATTGTCCCCCGTCACTTGCAGTTGGCTGTCCGCAACGACGAGGAGTTGAACAAGCTGTTGGGAGGTGTCACCATTGCCCAAGGTGGTGTTCTGCCAAATATCCAAGCCGTTCTTCTGCCCAAGAAGAGTGCAGCTGCCAAGGCCGTTGGTGGCAAGAAGTCCTCACAGAGCCAGGAATATTAGACGCTTTAGTCCATTTCACAACGGCCCTTTTCAGGGCCACCCTCATTTTCCAAGTAAAGCTAATACCAATGTGTTAATTTAATTTCAGTCGGAATAAATGTACATTGGCATCAATTGCTTTATCAAGTTCTACAACATAAGTATTGGAATAGTATTCATATCCTACAAATAACTGAACCATGTTGTTGTAATAACCCTTTGAGAATGCATAAATATTACAGTATGTATTTTTTAATTGTATCACCATGATTAAAAATAGATTACAATTGTGATCAAGGGTGTTTAGTAATTCGAGGAATAAGTGTCTCAGAACAGGGAGAATTGATAGAAAAATGATGTGAAATATAGTATTTGGCTCTTTCATGCAGCCGAGTAAGATGTCCCCTCACTTATTGATACATCCAGTGATCATGGTGCACTTACATGACCTCAATTGTCATTTTATTTGAGAGGTCTAGGAATTTTCTTATAATTGTGAAAGCAAAGAAAACCATTTTAAGTTGAATGCCAAAGTGATTTATATGAATAGCTTAGAAATTGATTGCACCACGTGACAGATATTGAAAAATGTCCTGAAACAAAGATTTACAAGTTGAGAAAAGGATGTGGATACAACATTTTGGAGTCCTAAAGAAGGAAACTGAACCTGGAAATATTTATCTGAACAAGAAGTTGGAAACTTGGCAACTTCTTGGTCTTAACAATGTTACCCTCCATCAGTGGCATTTGAAAGGGGACAAGGGGCTATACTGTTTGATTACCCTGCTTTTGTCAAAAGTACTGAGTCACCCTGGCTCCTTGCTGAGATAATAATGCCTTCTTAGGTGCCCCCAGCAATAGTTGTCTGAATCAGTTAGTCAAGGTATTTGAAGTGGATCAAAAATAATGATGCCAATTTTTGGCAAGTGAGTATAAGCAGGTTTATCAGCCATTAAGTGCAGAATTCATCAAAACTGGTATTTCTGGTTTTAAAGTATTGATGTGAAATTTAATTGGCTGTATTAACGAAGGACTTAGGAGGGCATAAAAAATATAGAGGAGGCTTTGGATTTTTGGTTAGGGCTGAGGCATTTTAAACTTTTTAACTTAAAATAAAGACCATACTGATTTTGGGTTTAGCTTTTTTAGCAAGACGGGTGCATGTCGGTAGCTTACTATTCAAGGGGGTTGAACTCCCAAGATGGAAGTGTATCGAGTTCATTGATTACCCTGAAATTATCTTTCACACACAGCACACAATTAATGTGAAACAAGTAACTTTTTTTTGTCCCAAATGTGCCCATGAACTAGAGCAGTGTTGCAACATTGAGGTGATCGCAACAAACTGTAGGATTACAGAAAAGAAAAGTGAATAAATGTTTCAATCAGTGATACTTTTTCCATGGGTTGTTTATTTGAAATATCGAAACTTACATGAATTTGTGAAATCTGCCAACTTCTACTGCAAATGTCATGATTAAATACATTTGTCCACATACTTTTTACAAGCAGTACTCATTAGCACCCAATTACATAATGCACTTTTCAATGGCAGTTCAACAGAACAATCACTATCAAGACGTGCAGATATTTAGATGATGATTCATCAGACATCTCTGAACCCATGCTCTCCAGCTTAAGCTTATGTTTCAAAGTATGGCTACGTCTTCGTTTTTCAGTTTTATTGTTAACCCTTGACACCATGCACTTATCTATGGCAGTTAATAATACCAGCGTCTTAATCCTTGATGCTGATTAACTGACCATCCCATGGTTATCAAGATTCAGCACAGAAACGCTAGACTTTCTTTCTTCATTCCTTATATCTTGTTCTTCAATGAGTCTACAAGCAGTAAATCATACTGTCATTTCAGTGAATAAGACATTTTCTACTTTTTTCCCTATCCTTTCTTTGTGTATATGGCACCATGCAGAATAGGGGACTAACTAGTCCGGGGGTCAAATCTGGCGACCCACTACAAAGCTTGCCGTCTTATCTGCTAAAAGACACTGAATAGATATCCTGTGGGGAAGTATCCAAATGGGTCGGCCATATTTGACCCTCCAACTAGTTAATCCCTTTTCTGAATGGGGCCTATAATTGCACATACTGTTTTACTACTGGGACATTCATCTTCCTCAGCTTAGAACTAAGGTAGCACCCACATTACAAAATACTACAAATGTCAATTTCATGGTGTAAGTTTTCTTTTACACTTTGAAGTCTGAACATTTTCCTTCACATCTTTCACTATGGTTTTCTTATCAACAGGTCTTTTTTGGTTTCCATCTCCTTCAGTTGTCTTATCTTTCATGCACTTGTTGTCATGGTTACCTTCCTTCAATTTAAATACAGCTTTCTCCACAGTTCCAGTGCCACTGTTAACAGCATTGCTTTCTAATTTGTCATCATCCTTTCTATTCTCTGCTGGTGACACAACTGCATTTCCTGAGGTACTTTTCCCATCCTCGTTTGTCTTTCTGCTTTTCCCTTCGGGAGCTACTTTCTGATCTTTTCTAGTTGAAGACTTGAGTGTGGGTGAGCATCCCAAGGAAAAGTGAACCACTGAACCTTGCGCCTGGGGACTGGACAGCAATGGAGCCTTGCAGATCAGGCTGCTGAATTTCCCTTTGATTTTCATGAATTGCCTCTTGAATTCTAACCCATCTCCCTAGAAATAATAGTATATAATTTTTTTGTGAATAAATGCAATGCTTTTTATTCCTTTATTAAATGGAAATTTAAATACATCATTGCAAATTTGAAATTCTGAAATGTTTTGTCTATCTATGCTAGATTGTTGCAAAATGTGTCTCTTGAAATGTGGCACTAATAAAAGGGCAATCTCATGCTAAATAATAAAAGCAATGGATATAAAAATCATGAATATCGAATGGGAGTAATTTTATCTAAATCTGCTGTCCAGTCATATTGAAAACAAACAATTCAATCTAAATAATTGGTAGAGTACAAGCAAATGTATGGAGTTGACTGCCCACTCATTCAAAGAGCAGCTATTCTCACCTTAGACAAGCGGAAGTCAACCAATATTAGGTTGTTCATGTCCACCAGGTTGGCCTTGAAAATGAGATTCATACCCCTGCGGTCCATGGTTGACAGTGTGATCTGAAAACAGAAAGTTTCCAGTCTTTAAATTCTTAACATTTTGTTTACATAGACACAGACATGCTTGACCGGAATTTTTTTTTTCCCACTGAAAATGATTTTGTCTTCCCATATCATCTTCAGTTTCAAAAAATTAACAAATGTGCAATTACAGATAATATTTCATATAAACGTTATTTTTTAACATTTTAACTTACTCTTGTAAATTCTTATCTAATCCCTCTTTTACATTAAGTTCTATCTCAATCTGTCAGTTTAAAAAGAACTGTTTGCAGAAGGTTATCTAAAAAGAAATATAAAAAGAAGAGTATTTCCTCACCAAGCCCTGTGGATTTCTCCTGACAGAGTATCCCAGCTTTTCACATATTGACACCAGGTGTTTCACGGTTTCATCAACGGGGGTCTTTACAAAGAATCGGGTCATGCGTCTTACCAGTCTCTGCATAGGTGTCTGAAGAAACAAACAAACAAACAAATAAAGAAAGAAAGAAAGAAATAATAAAGACAAAAATAAACATTTCTGTTTATAAATGCAACATAATGCAGTGTTACTGAAAATTTTCCCTTTTCTTTAGCAATTACCAACAAGCTGATGCTTGCACCACAATTAGACTGAACTCTTAAATCAATCACTGACAAAGCATTTCTAGAATGTTAAAAAATCTTTAAAGAAGCCTGAAAAAGACCAAACCACAAACCTGTGAGGCACCAGGTGTCCCCGGCATCTGACTTCCCAGGATCATGTGATCAGGGTGAACAGGCTGCGAGAAACTGAACATATGGAGGTCCCTCAGTGCTTCATTGGTGTCGCTGGTAGATGGACTGAGAGAGGGTGCACGGCGGGGCTCTGGCTGAGAACAGGAAATCTTCCCAGTGTCCCTACATGTAGAAGTTTATTAATAATTCAGAAAATCTCATTAAGGATATGTGTGTTTGTGTTGTAATGTAATAATTGGAAAAGAAAAAATATGCAATGATATTGCAGCCCTTACTTCATAAATCCCATTATTATCCCATGGTATATTTTTCAAAAATCTTTTTTCACCAAATCAATGATATACTGTTGACAGGCGACAAAAATGGTTTCCATTTCCTTTTGTTTATGTAAATTATCAGTTCTATTTGGGGAAAATTGAGTATGCTAGCAGATAAGAGGTCAGCGCTAACCTTCCTTTCATGGCAGGTGGAGAGAGATCCACTCCTGAACAGAACCTCTTGAATGGGTTGCCATCTGCTGGAGAATTGGAGAGGACAAAGCCACCTGGAAAGCAGAATATGCTTTTTTCAAAAACCTGCGCTAAATACCTTGATCACTCACAAAGTCTAGAGAAACTGAAATCAAAAATATTAAAGTAACTGAAACTCTCTATAGTCATGTTGATTTAAACAGCTAAGTTAAAAGGACAATTACATACAGTTAAACTTTAAGTATTCATTTTTTTCTGAGCTGCACACACACACACACACATCAATACCAATAATATCAGATATCTATCTTGTAATACCTGACTCTTTAAATCTTTTGTTGAACCACTGGTGTGCTTTTATCTGAGGAATAGTCATCCGCTTGAGAGGGTTTTCCACCAGGACCCTCCTCAACAGAGCTGGAGTAAGAAAATAAAACATAATTACAAAATTGAGTCATTCTTTAGTCTTCAAAAACATTCTAAATGAATCAAATTTCATGAAGTGCAATTGTGTAAAACATGCTCCTTAAATAAACAAGAAAAAAGTATATTGGCTAGGCTACAGGAAATTGGCTAGACTTTTGCTGATTTTAGGTTCTGCAAGTTCTCCTTGTTTCTAAAATAAATTTCAGATATCAAAAGATAACCAAACTTAAAACCAGGCTTGTGAGACGGCAGTCACTGTAAATCAATAATCCTGGCTTTGTTAGAACGACAATGAAGGGATAACTATAGACCTTTCAGTTTAATCAAATAACCACTCAATGTCAAATCAATGAAAAACACAAGGAAATTCCTAGGTATGTTTCTTTGAAATTTGACTAAATTTTTATTTCCACCTTCATGTTGTGTCAATTAAATCCCAATAAATCTCAGTCTCATATAATTGAGAATCAACAATGCACAAAATACAAAGCACAAAATGTAAAGTACAAAGCTATGTTGCGCACACTCGGCAACTTTGAAACAAGAACAGCCCCCCTCCCCCCTTGTATGGCACATATTTTTTCCACACTTACACAAGGCCAAGTTGTCAATCTTGTTCCAAGGAGACAGTGTAATCTTGCAGTCTTTCCAGTCTGAGTATTCCTGGCAGCCATACGTAGGCTCATCCCAGGGCAGCTCTGAAAAATTAAAACAGGTTGTAATGAAAGGGCAGGTATCCAGTATTTATAATAAGATATTTATTTTCCTTTAAAGCCCTATGTCTTTGGAACAGATTGACAGGTTATGTATAAAAGAGGCTTTTCAAAGAATATACAAGCCTCCTTTGGACAAATTTAATTTCTAATCTAATAAGCTATGTGAACTGTGCATATACATTTCTCTTATCATCAAGGCTCACTCTGCTTTAAGTAAATTTTAGCCCATTAAATTCAATATTCAGAATCAGGTAAGGAAAAATATAATTTTATCTCTTTTTACCCCCCTTCCACTCTCCCCAGACAATATTTAATGCTTTAGTTCAATATTGGCATTGGCTAAAACACAAAACATGTCTAACAGAAATCTGATTCTCAAGTAAGCCAACACACTTACCCCCTGCCAATAAAGTGACCAGAATTATCCCACAGGACCAGATATCAGCTGGCTCAGCACTGTATGGCTTTCTGGCAATGACCTCTGGGGACACATATGGCACAGTCCCACAGCACTTGTCCAGCTGCCTCTCCTTCCCCTGGTGTCTGAACACTGTGGACAGACCAAAGTCTGTGATCTTCAGGTTATCTGAAGCCAAAATAAAAATTCCAAATCACCACTTAAACACAACTGCAATGTAAGAAAAAGATTATGAAGATCAAAGTCCAATTTTAAAATTTTGGTTTTCCATCTGTGCACTGAAAGAAACTCTACATGTTTAAAAGTGTATGGTTCTTTAAAATCATAGCCTTTGAAGGGCAGTTTTAATTCTTAGAGATATATAATGTTCTTTAGACCTTAATATTAGCACTTCTGAATCATCAAGATTAAATAACCACATGAATTTGGTTAATCGCATATCTATCAGTGTTCCATGTGGAAATATGAATGTTGTCGACATTACATGTTGTCAAAATACAGAGACCTACTGGTTAACTAGTCAATAACAATAACATCTGAAAACTTTGGGAGCTATATATCTAAATATGGGCTGAACATGTATAGAGGAGTGTAGACTTACAAACCCAGAATATTTCATACTTACCATCATCATCCAATAAAAGATTTTCTGGCTTGAGGTCCCTGTGTGTGACACCCTTAGAGTGAAGGTACTCCTGTGATGGGTAAATAATTCATTAACACTGGTTCATAACAAATTTTCTAAAGATTTCTGGATGCACTCTGTTAATTTAGCCAAATATGTTAAATATTCTCTTTTTATGTTCCTTTTTTCCTATATTTATCACCGAGCTTTTCTTTTAATTGCATTAAATTATCATCAAAGGGAAATATGTATATGATTATTCTGATATCAAAGCATGTAACATTGTCATGGTTGACAACAATTAAAACTTTTTTGTCAATAGACTAATACCAGGTACGTAATGAGTTAGTAATTTGATATGTGGGTTATATCCTTATCAACAGCGGAAGATATGAAATCAAATACAAATTTATGTGTTGACATGGTTCAAAAATCCTTATCATCCTGTTCAACGAGGGAAGTATCCTTCCATGGTAAAACTATTATATTCAACCTTTATGTATAGAGCAGAGGAACACATGAAGGGATAAAGAGACATACAGTAAAGTTACATTAGATAACAATACTCACCACGCCAGCAATCAGCTGTTTAAAAAACTTCTGACCCTGGGCTGCTGGCATTCCAACATCAGGCTCTGTGGAATGAAACAAGTTTGTATTATACACATAGTGCAAGTAATAAAGAATCAGCCCAGTAAATATTTCCAGGTACACAGGAAAAGCTTCACTTGCTATGTATGAAGTTAATAATTACTACTAACACAAAATCTCATTCTCTTAAATTAAACTGAGTGAGGCAGTGGTAAAACATATCTAGTCCAGTCCAATTATTTAATGAAAAATTTGCCAAGAGCTGATTTCTTGAACTGAGAAATACTAAAATCATTATCGCTGATACAACAGCACATTTACTACACTTGTCGCCTATATCTATTACGGGTCAAACTCACCTATCCTATCAAACAGCTCTCCTCCACTGGCGTATTCCAGGAATATATAGTGTCTGTCCCCCTCCTTTCTGTGACCATAGAACTTGATAATGCTCTCATGGGTCATCATCTTGTGGACACAAATCTGTAACATAAACAAACCAAATATTTACTTATGACTTACTGAAATTTAAGGTATCAGAATTCAACAAAAAGGACTGACCCAATGACACATGAATTTATACTGCTGTAACAGTGGTAAATTAGACATGATTATCTCGAATTTTAACAGGAGGGCACTTACATGTAGATTCATCTCTGTAATAGCCAATAACCCTAGCTAGTTGCTGTTATAATAAATTTATTCTATTTCAAATGAGTGGTAAAATTCCTTACTTCTTTCCTAACATTATCAGCCACATTTGCAGTTTTTGTCAAGTCAATAATCTTCACAGCCACTGCTTCCTGGGTGCTGGTGTTTACAGCTAGTTTTACCCTGAAAATGGTGCATATTTTGATAAAATCATTCATCTACAATGATTTATCAAGAAAATACATGTGATGCTTATATTTTAAAGTACAAAGTGAAAACAGGAGAGCGGGATAGAGAGGGGAAGAGTCTGTGCTTTAATTAAAATACAGAAATTACATTTACAAATGCCACCCAGTTCCATCCCATCCACTCCCTTACTGGGTTCAACTAAATTCCAAACATAATTTACAGTCACTTACTCTCCATAAGCCCCTTCACCCAAGGTTTGCACAAAATCCCAGCCTTCCACAAACGCTGTCACCATACTGCTTGCAGGGAATGAAGGCTATTGCACACTGAAATGATGATCGAGAAAACACGTCAACTAAAGCATGTAATGACTTTAACATCATCATAAAGTCTAATTATGTCTGAGAAAGAACCCATACATAAACCCAGTTTTCAAGAAATATGACTGGCCGACGTGTATAATGCAATGGCTTCATCGTAAATTTACTATAGCAACTTCACAAGATCAAAGACGGACGTCAGTCTTCATACTCTTTCCTACCCCCTTTTACTTTCACCTGGTCTAGAATTCTCCACACATAGTGCCGCTACTAGTGAAAAAAACAAAACACTTTGACGGGCAAGAAATCTTTCCACTTTGTGAAGAAATCGAATTCGCCGCCAAATTTCCCTGCACGGGCAAATTTGGCGCCGTGTCGGTATATCATTACGATTGAGCTTTTATCAACGATGCAAGATTTCAGCTTCTGTTACGCAAAATTGGTAACTCAGAACTGTTGATCTTACCGTTAATTTGTAATTATATTCATCTTTCATCTAGAATGACAACAGTCCACTGGCGAGAAAACACACATGCACTGATGTCTTATTTTCCGTAGGTGGCGACACTTGTATCGTGACTCAATGACGAGCCCCTTCCCAAGTTTAATAGTTGCCGGTTGTCGTGGGTCCACAGGCAACGTAAAACGCAGTTTTAATTTTTGATTGCTATTGTTTTATTTCCTCGAAACTTAATAATTAATAATGCATTGACTTTCAATTTTCTAAATGCATTTTCAACATTTTAATTGCTTAAATGTTATCAAAAAATTATTTGTTAAACTTTTGGACTGCTGTAGGCTAATGTTTCCAAATCATTTTCCCGGACTTTTTTCATAATTTTCTGAATGATAAATGAAAACTGGGAATTTAAAAAGTCGTGTTTTGATAAATTTTGATAATGTCTGTAGTGTCATTATGACATCAGTTCTTTATATGAATTCACCAGTGAAGCAAACAAAAGTGCATGGCTGATTCTCTGTCATTAAAAAAAAAAAAAAAAAAAACTTTTTTATTTGGATCTCCATATTTTCCAAATTATCAACTGTTAAAGAGTTACACGTCACACAAAGGAAATTCATATAGGTGTCTAGTTAGTGATGCGTCTGTTCTCATCAGGCATCTACCAAGACCCTCAAGTCTGTCAAGTGGAAAGGCATATTCCTTCCGACGATTGTCTTAGGGTTTGAATTTGATCTGGAAGTTAACATTCCAGGCATCGGTTTGTTTGTTCAATTTGGTTCAGGTTTATTGTTGGACATTAGAATGTTTATTCGGCGATTAATTACTACCCAGTGCTTGTCCTTTAGAGTTCAAGTCAGTCGAACTAAGGAGTTATAATCTGTTATAACTCCTTGGTCGAACGTGATAGCCACAATACAGCACAAATATGTAGCGGCTCAATTCCGTATTGGTTCTGCAAGTTAATGCAAGTGTTCTTTGTGGAAGGGCATTTTCATCTCGTAAATTAAAATTGTTCCTGAGGTTGCACTCTAACACTGAAAGGCAGGAACGTGGTTTCAGAATATTCCTGTATTTGACGTTGTGTACTTGTGAGTGTTTATATCAGTGGTAGATTCTGCCTTAGCCGACAGTGATCACTTCACCCCCCCCCCCCAAAAAAAAAAAGAAGAAAAAGAAAAAGAAAACGGCATAACGAGCGAAATGAGAAAAAGCCAAGGATTTATCTACTCTCTGCCGTACATACAAAGATATATTGTAGTATAAATGTCTTCGTCTACTGTGTATAGTTAAAGGGTAATACAGGGCACAAAAACCCTTGCCCCCCACTCCTCCCAACTCAATTTTAGCAAAATTTGTGAAAAATCAACCATGAATATGTAGCTTTGACCAAATACCAATAAATCACGACAGCCCCCAAAAACAATGAAAAGCAAAAAAGTTTATTGGTTTGAAAAACCGAAATATATAATAATACATATTGTTCTGAAAAAACTTTTATCACCAAAAATATACAGTATAGCGAACATAAAATAGTAGACTTTAACATTTTCCCTAATATTATGCAAATCTTTTCACTGGAGGTACAACAAGATGTGTAAGGTTGTCAAGTCACAAAAGAAAAATTTGAGATTACAAATAGGACTGAGTAATGTGCTCTTTGGGTGATTAAAACGGCATCAACAGTGGCCATTTTACGTATATGTCACAGGCTAGACCACAATCTAGTCCTAGGCCATTTTCTTATTGGGTCTGTGCATTATTAACAGCATAATGACCGTGTCAAAATGTGAGCTGCCAGTTTGTTCGTATGGCTTATGCATTAGATACATGTAAATCTTTGAGATTACAACTAGGGCTGAGGAGGTCTTCTCAGGGGAAATGAACATGACATCAACAGTGCATATATACATGTAGGCCTACGTACCAGCTCTAGATCTGCCAGATTCACATATATTTTTCCTATATAGATACTCCCAGATACTTCTCTAGCTGTTAAGGGCACATTAATGTATGGAGAGAATTTTGAACAGAAATGACGTACGTATCTTTACATCTCTTATATATATATCTCTTATATATATATAGCAATATACTAGTATAATATATGCTCAGGTTCTGCACCATACATGTAGAAGCTGCAGTTCACTTCTTGATGGATATATAGGCGTCTTATAGTGGGTCCAAAACCCCACCCACACAGATGTCTCTGATCTGAAAGGTAAAAAAAAACACAAGTACTTGAATTTGGATTCGATGTTTTATTTATTGCTAAATATAGATGGCATAGTTCTAAATGTATCATTATTCATGTAGAGGTCTAGATCACCACCCGTCCTCTCAACACTTCAGAAGGAAATTTCGGCACCCGACACAAAGTATGATGGATTTTAACGCTTTAAAGGACTGAAAGGGAAAACAAGTAGTTTAACAGGATCTTTTGACTTAAAAATGTTTCAGGGGCATTTTTTCTATACGTATAGAATACCGATATATTACATTTAAACAAATGGGAACATTTGATGAGTGAAACACCAGCAATAATTGTACGAGTGACGTTGTTCTAAAAGTCTTTCACCAGACATCTGACATAAACTATGTATAATATTTCTCAATTTTGTACCGATTTATCAACAAGCAAATCTGGTGTGGCATTGTGAGATTTTATAACAGAACTTACGTTCACAGACGGCGGGGCAGACAGGATGTAGATCAAATTGTCCGCTATTTCTTCGGGCAGAAGACACTGTAATGATGTCAAAGAATTAAAGATTCGAATATACAATATCACATTCTACTCAAGTACTCTGTGGATTTCGAAAAATCTAATCATTCTATGCAAAATCTGTACAGTTGTCAATTTCATGAATTGTTTCACTGGCATTTTCATTTAGGTCAATCATTAAAACTTCGATCCTTTTTAAAAAGCAATAAAGGTCTACGTTTCTTTTGTCTTGTAGTTGTAATAAATGTTACCTGTCTCCGTCTGAACAACTGCTCCATTTTCTCTTTCCCAAACTCCACCTCCACCCACTGTCTCGCCAATACAGTGTCCACCAGAGCAGGGCTAATAGTCTGAATTAAATGATTTTAATTATCAGTTTTTCAAACAGCATTTTCTAAAAAAAAATTGTTGTGTTTTTGATATTCATATTTTGCTAAACCCTCAAAGGTACCGACCTTTAACTGAAGGAATTTCTACTTTTGCTAGAAAACTGCGTTTTGCCAAAAGAGAAAACAGCAATATATAGAAAGGGTGCTTTATACCAGTTATAGTTGATCGCGATAAATGCGTTTTCAATCTAATTTATAAACGCCTATTAATGCGTTCTTCTGCGGAGAATATGACCGTAAATAAGATTTGTTCGGGAACAGAGAAAACCTTTGTATTAAAATGCCATTACTAGTGTTATTATAATGAATATTCTGAGAGAGAGAGAGAGAGAGAGAGAGAGAGATGTGTGTGTGTGTGAGAGAGAGATGCGGGGTAGGGGAAACTTACCGACACACGAATCATAGACTCCTCCGCTCGCAGACAAGCCCGCAGACCCTCTGTCAGACATTTCACTGCGTGCTTGGTAGCTGAATAAAAATGCATAGCTGCTATTTCACGGCAATAACGATGCCCAGTTTGGCTGAAAAAACAAAATGAAAAATTTTGACTGGACGATCAAAAAATTATACTGACGCTGAAAATAGTTTTCAATACTGAAGTAGAACTGATATTGCGATTGACGTTGATAGATTTGAATGTCGGCATTAGATATGGATAACAGCTAAGTAAGTAAGCACGGAGTCGCCGTCTAACAGTGTTGATGCGGCTGTACTTTTTAGTTGAATGATCTGCATGCATGCGGTGATTTTATATGGTTTCCTGTTATTGCCTAAAAGTCAAAAGTAGAACAATTCCTAAATGATAATTCATAATCATTTACCTGCAAATATGAATAATATGGCCATCATCGACTTTTCGCTCTTTCATCGACTGCACAGCCATTTGAGTTACTATTGAGAGGCCAAGGATGTTGGTCTGAAAACGAAAATTTGGCAACAATGAACATATGACACATACATCTCAATGGTTCTCAGTCTGTTCGGACTGTCAGGACTGTGGTCGATAACTCCCTTTTATAAAAATACACACGTCCAGTTCTATTTCAAAGACTTTATTACAGAGACACTCCCACTACTGCATATAGTAGGATACATGATGGTTGGTCCATGTCCGGCGTCATGATCGGAGAGAGCCTCCCGTGATTGTTTCAGAAACCAGAGGTCCCGTGGACACATGGTGATTAGATATAATGTAAATGGTTTTCCGCGGCCTACATTTCATGTCCATCATCACAATTTATCTGAGTTCGGAACCGGGTTTAATTCACCGGGTTCAACGGACTATACATGTAGAAAGGCAGGATTCTGTGTTTCTTGTAACCGGTCTAAAATGGTATAATACTCACGTCCAGCATTTTCTGGAAGGTGTCGGTATCGCCACCGAGAAGTTGCTGTGGGGCCAGATACCCAGCGTTATTAACACATACGTCCACCCCACCCACTTGGTCCTTTATGGCCCGGAACATGGATTCGATCTCAGATTTCACTGTCAGGTCACATTTCATGGGGATCAAACGTCCTGTCTCTCCTTCCAATTCTTTTGCTGTCTTCTGTAAATAAAAAATAGAAATGTGTTAATTTAAAAGATAGCAAATTTGATTATAAGGTAGGTTTCGCTTGGTATGTATGTATGTATGGACCCTATCATGGCTGGCATACGTGAAGTAACCGTTTACGATTAGTTTATTCTCTAGGCATAAAACGAAAACAGTCTATGTAAATTATGAAATTTTTACTTCAATAAATCCTTGTCAACTGTTTTCATTAAGTCTATCACATATCTATTTTACTGTTTTTTCCCACAATTCAATATTCTTTTTATTGATAAAATCCTCACCTACAACAGACTGGTGTTGAGTTGAATTCAGAGATGCTGTTGATTTTACGACCACGTTGGAAACAAGAGGCGGCGTGTTGGTCTGTTAATCTGATTGCTTTTAGCGAGAGTTAATGCGCACTAGCTAGTACGACCTAACTCATTCAGAACGGCCCTTTGTAAATTATGTGAGGTCTACTTCAATAATATATATGAAGTTTTCTTTCATTCTGTCACATCAATACTACCCCCCCCCCCCAATACTTTTTACTTCTCTTTTTATATAGGCCTACATGAAAACCTTACCTCTATCAGTTCGACTCGGCGAGCGCACCCCACAACTATCATACCGTGTTTCACGAGCGCTCGACAAAACGCCTCGCCCATCCCAACTGACGCCCCGGTTACCAAGGCAACTCGACCTCTCCAGCGTTCCATAGTGATTGCTAATAATAAGAAAATTGACATGTAAATCTGCAGGTATATTGAATTAACATACAAAACACTTTTTATTTGTATTATTTTTGCGTTCCATAATGATTGCTAATAATAAGAAAATTGACATGTTAATCTGCAGGCATATTGAATTAACATACAAAACATTTTCTATTTGTATTATTTTTGCTTTTATGTGTATAAACATGGTAGGCAACGTGAGCCGAAAATGTTCTCTTCATCTCTCTAAGCAAAATCCTGGGTATATCAAACACTTAATAGTTATAAATTTCCTTGAAAAATATTATATAGCTTTTACTGGATCTCCCTCTTTGTCCTCCCATTCTACATGTACAAATAGGATACAGATTTAGGAATGAGAATAGTAGGAGTAGGATTAAAACTTTACTTTTAAAAAATAAACGTATAGTTACTAGCAAATGTATCTCCTCCGTGGAACTCAATACGAGTTTAAAAGTAGAATACGAATAACCAAGTACAGTGTCTCTTCATGATGTCTTTAAAGTGCCGTTACTCTCATTATTTCGCCAGCATTCTTTTCTATATGCCATCCAAACAGCACGCACTTTCTTCTAGTCTGTTTATAATTCATAAATCCACCCTAGCTATTTAAAATGACAGGCGTCACTGCGGAAGCAAGGCTATTGTGGTTAAAGCGCTGAGCCGAGATGACCTCAAACCTGAGGAGAATTTGTCTCCAAGGTCGCACGGTACTCAACACACTAGATGCTTTTTACTTTTAACCCCTATAAACATACTGTATTTTTCACAGGAGTGGCACACTCTTTTGTCCATTGACAAAACACTATGCAGTTTTAAGTCTAACACACTGTGACAAAAACCCTGTGCATATTTAAGTCGGGTCAGAAAGCCGTGAGAGTTCAACCAACTTTATGTTCAGCATAATTCAATGGGTGTGACGCCGAATTTAAACAGATTTTCCAGAAGATCTGAAGTCGAGTTTCATTCAGGGTCACCCCATCTCTGTAGCCAGAACCAACAATAATAGCACGAAAATACTTGTTAATTCGAGAATTGAGATTGGAATAGGGCTACTGTACATATATTTTGTGTGAAGCCAGATGTCAAAGCCCTACATGAATCATAAGTGCCAGTTTTTAAACGACACAAATGAAATCGACATGCTAAAAAACAACCAAAATTAAAATCGATGACAGCAGAAATTAGACTTAAAAATTGCACCTTCCAATTCCTAGCCGTATATTGACCTACTTACAGGTATTTCCACTGATCCAGTCCACACAAGGTAAATAGAAAAATAAAGGTGCAAATATCATTTTTGGAAAACAATGTAATGGACTTATACTATTTTAAAGACACACTATCGGGTTTAGCGGCAATGGTGTGATATAAGTACTTGGTAAGATCCTAGATGTATAGGCCTAATGACAGCTTAAAAAAATTTATGTGACCTTACCTTACCTAGCCTTACATTAAGGCCACGCAAATATCATTGGTTTCAAAATTACGTGTTTTGATAATAATTAGATAACAAAATATCTATAGATTCTAAGTTATTTTCATCAACTTATTTCATAATTATTTGTATCTCTTACGAGGTTGTTTAATGTCTTACCTTGAAGGGTTGTGAATGCAAACCTCGCAGACTTAATGTTACGCTGTGACCTCGTAACCACTGTCATGCCACCTAGCGGCAGACACGCTACTTTTGTTAGTAGGCTTCTTTGTTGACAAAAATTGAGTGATGTATCACAATATGAATTGACCCAAGCGTTCCATGACTAGTCTGTGCTGCGCAGGCACATGGAGACGTTTTTAGTGGTTTTGCCTCTTTCTGGGACTACCAGGGGCTCGCATTGAGGGACTTTATGAGATAGACTTAAATTAGACTGAAATTAATTAAATTAGTAATTGATCGAGATACATGACCGGGCATGTAGGCCTATTCATTGCCAAACTTAAAATATCTAGTAACTCTTTAAAACTTTTTTCTTATAGTACATGCAGAAGCAGGGTGTCTCAATATCATTTATTTATGATTTACCTTGATCATTATAATTTGTTACTATCATTTTTAATTTTTATGGGGGGGGGGGTCGTAATTCTCATGTGTTTTTGGCATTCGCCTCTCGTCGACTCGAATGCGTCGAGTAAGTTATAGGCCTTTAAGTTTTTTTTTAATCTGCAGGTTTCCCAAAAATAACTTTTCATTATCTCAACGACACTCACGTGCACATTTGTATTAAAGCGTCTGCGGGGCTGTTTAATAGGCCTACAGACTTAACCAACCAAAAGCACAATGTTATAAAATTCGTTTGTTTGAGGCCCTTGAAGGGGAGAAAGAAAGTATTGTGAAGACGTAAACAATTTTTCAAGGCACCACATTTTATTTTTTCAATCCCCCCGTTCTGTGTTGTAATCTGCTGCTCTAAAACAGAGTTAAAAGATAACCCCCCCCCCCAAAAAAAAAAAAAAAAAAAAAAAAAAAAAAAAAAAAAAAAAAAAAAAAAAAAAATTAAAAAAAAAAAAAAAAAAAAAAAAATTTTTAAAAAA